CCTGCTGCTGCTTGGTGGTGCTGTGCTTGGTGGTGCTGTGCGATGCCGCTGCTGCTATCTGCTTCGTGCTGCGTGCTGCTGCCGTTCGCTGCTGCTGAGATTTGATGCTGCAGGGTGCCGTTTCTCGCTACTTCAGCCTGCTGGCGCAGCCCGTTGCCAGGAGCCAGGATCGAGGAATCAGGATCGAAGATATCGAGAAGGGAGGGGCGAGGAGCGATCAGTTGAGAGCGAGGAGCGAGAAGGGAGGAGCAACGGCCGAGGAGAGAGGGGCGAGGAGGGATGAGGGAGGAGAGGGAGGAGGGAGGAGGCGGGAAGGGAGAGGGGGGAGGAGGCGGGAAGGGGGAGGGACATCTTGGGGGTCTCTCGGGGCATCGTGAGGGGAGAACTCTCGGGATGTCTCTCGGGGGCCTCTTGGGGTCTCTTGGGGCCTTCTTTGGAGCTTCGTCGTCTTCCATGGGGCCCTCCCAAGCCTCCTGAAGCCATCTGGGCGGCCCTTGGGGACACGGGGGGCTGTTTTAGAGTGATCTGGGTACGATCGGGGGTGGCTTGAGGTCGTTTTGGAGCGCTCTTGGGCCGCCTTGGGCCTTTCTTGGGACGGTCTTGGCGGTCTCTTGGACTGTTTTTTGGCCCTGTTGGGCCGTCTGTGCGCCCCCTTCGGGTGCCAATTCGGCCGTCTTGGGCCACCCTGTTGGTGGTCTCGAGGGCCTCTCGGGGCCACCTGGAACTCCATTGGGCAATCTTGGGGCTCTCTTGAGCCGTTTTGGAGCCCTCTTGGGCCGTCGTGGGGCCCTCGTCGGGGCCTCCTGGGCCATCTCGGGGCGAACTGCGAAGCCCATGGGGCCGTCTGAGGCCGCTTCGGGCGCGGAGTGGCGAGAATGCGGAATTCCTTCAACAACCAGCCGAACTTTCATGATTCTGGCATCGCCGGGGCGTGATCGGGGTCCTCCTGGCCCGTCGAGGAACGCTCCTGGATTGTCGTCAGGCCCTCGTGGGCCGTCCTGGGGCTCACTTCGGGTCCTCTTGGGCTGTCTTGGCGCTCGAGCGTATCTGAGCCGTCTTGGGGTCGTGTGGGGCCGTCTTGGGCCCACCTTGAGACCCTCTGGTGCCGTCCTGGAGCGCTCTGGTGGCTCTCGGCTAGGGCAGGGGGACCCAGAGTATTGTACCAAGTGAATCCAGACACTTCCGGCACGCGCGTATGCTTGAAATTGAAATTCGCCGGCCCAACGGGCCAGGGCGTGCTAAGATCTCCGGTAACTGGTTAACAGTATTAACAGTATTTCTAGTTCGCGCGCGCGGGGCGGCCCCTGGGGGTCCCCCGGCGAAAAGTACCCCGACCAACGCCCGGTCGCCGCCCGGTCGCCGCCCGACCGCCGCCCGACCGCCGCCCGACCAAGTCTACTCAGAGATGGTTTTCCTTCTGGGTGCGGCCTCTCAGGCTCCCCAGAGCGCGCTCAGAGTGCCCCAAGAGGCCCCCAAGACTGCCCAAGAGGCCCCCGAGACGCCCAAAGAGCGCTCGAAGACGCCGAAGATGACCCCAAGACGGCCCAAAAGGCCCCCAAGACAGCCCAAGAGGCCTCCAAGACGCCCCAAGAGCCTTCCAAGAGGCCTCCGAAGAGAGCCCCAAGAGGCCAAAATCGTTGATTTTCATTGGTTTTTTCGATGTTTTTTGTGTTCTGGCTTTTTCGGCTTCCGGACGCTCCAAGACGGCCCAAGAGGCCCCCAAGACCGCTCCAAGACGGCCCACGAAGCTCCCAAGACGGCGCCGAAACGACCCAAGAGAGCCCTCAAGACGGCCCAAGTGCCGCCCAAGACGGACCAAGAGGCCCCAAGACGGGCCCAAGAGGGACTCAGGAGGGATACCGAGAACTCAAAAATGGAGCCCTCCGTCCCAGAAGGCGCCCAGGAGGTCCCAAAGAGGCCCCAAGAGGCCTCCAAGAGGCCCCAAGATGTCGCCAAGAGGCCCCAGGAGACTCCCAGGAGGCCCAAAAGAAGCCCCAGAAGGCTTCAAACATGTCTCCCAGGCGCCCCCGAACGGCCTCTCAACAGACCCCAAGAGGCCCCCCAAAGAAGCATCTTGACGACGACTCTATTTCGCCCCATCGAGAGACGACCCCCAGGGAACTGCTTCACCATCAAAACTCCCCACGCAACGCGTCCGAACGACACCCGCCCCCAAGAGCGCAACATGGGCAACGAACACACAGACAAAAACCAGCGATGCCATATCACGGGCCGGCGGAATGAGCGAAGCGATTCAATAAGATGACGTCGGACTCCACCTTCGCCTCCCACATCTCGCTGAGCAACACCAAAGCCCGCTGCCACTGCCCGCCCTTCTCGCACGCGCTGATCCCGACGTTGTAGCTGACTGTCAGGGCTGACCCGTGGCCTACCAGCCACGGCATCTGTCCGAGATGGCACGTTGGGCCAGGACATAGATGCTGCCGGACGGCTTTCGTGATGACGTTGGGCCCGAACATCGCCTTTGCTATTGCTGCCTGCGGCTACAGGGTGCTGCTGCCTGCGGCATGTTGTTGCTGCTGCCGCTTACTGTTATCGTGTGCTGCCGCTGCTTGCTGCGGACAGCTGCTGTTCATTCTGCTGCTTGAGGTTGCGCAGTGCTGCTTCTTTGGTTATCCTCGCTAGCTGACGCAACCTGCAGCTCGTGAGTAGGTCGAGGATCGAGGAGCAAGGAGCGATGAGTCAGGATCGAGGGGGGAAGAGTGAGAAGCGAGGAGCGATCAGCGAGGAGCAACGAGCGAGGAGGGAGGAGCGACGGCTGATGATATATATATATATATACATATAGAGAGGGAGAGGGAGAGGGAGAGGGAGAGAGAGAGAGAGAGAGAGAAAGATAAACAGAGAGAGACGAGAAGGGATGCGGGATATCCGAAGAGGAGGGGGGAGGCAGACACCAATAGCCTAGAGGTGGGAGGAGCGAGGAGGAGTGAAAGAGAGGAACCAGGAGGAAAGATAGAGAGAGAGAGAGAGAGAGAGAGAAAAAAAAAGGAGAGGGAGAGAGAAAGAGAGAGAAAGAGAAACGAGGAGCGAGGAGAGAGCGGCGAGGAGCGAGAAGCAAGGCGCAAGGAGCAAGGATCGAAAAGGGAGGCTGGCGAAGCGCCCAGCGCACGAACATCTCCATGGCCTCGGCGCGCGTGCGGCCGAGAGAGTCTGGTCTCCCCTCGGGCCGCTCGTGGCTCGCTCGGGGGTCTTCCCAGGGGCCTGCTGCGGGGCTCCCTGGGCTCCCTCGGGGCCCCCCCGCGCCGCTGTGCGCGACCTGGGTGGCCTTCGGGGCCTCCAGGTGGTGTTGGGGGGGAGGGGGGGGGCTCCGGCGGCGCCAGGGGGGGGAGGCCATCTTGGGGCAGGGCTGGGCCGTCCCGGGGCCGTACTGTGGCCCTCTTGGGGGCCAATCGGGCCTGTCTTCGACCAGCAGGGGCCTCAGTGGGCCCCGGCAGCGGCAGGCCCGGGCTTCTGCCGCTGAAGAAAGACTCTCTCTGGAGCATCAAAGCTGGAAACACACATCAAACAAACGGCTCCTGGAAACTGGAAACATGCTCCAGGCTTGGAACCGGCATCGGGAACCAACAGCGACGCAACAGGACGGAGCCGAGAACAAAACGGCGCCAGATCTGCAACACAAACATGGAACACGGAAGTGGCAAAAAACTGCCCTGTCGTTTCCAGGGCAGACTGTAACGAGGATCCTCCTGGGGGCTCTCGTGGGGCTCTTGGGCCCTCTTGAGCTGTGCTGGGCCATTTCAGGAGCCATGCGGAGCCGAAAAGGGGGGAGTGTGGTGGACATGCGCGAAAACCCACGATCGAAATTCCACAACTTTCGCCGGTCGGGCCCCCCGGCAAACCCATCGTAGAGCCTCTCGGGGCCACCTCGGCAGCATCTCGAGGCGCCGTGGGGCTTCCGCGGGGCCGCGCCAGGCCAGGCGAGGGCTCCAGAGGGCCGTCTGGAGACGTCTTGGAAGCGCCCCAAGGCCGTCTGAGGTGGGAGGCGCCTAGGGTTAGGTCGGGCCTGTCCCCCTACGGGGGGATTCTGGGCGAAAAATGAGAAGTACTGAAACAATACCCCCCAAAATGCTCGAAAATAGTCAAAACAAGGTCCCCATACTATTTCTTTACTATTCTTCAGGATCCCTCTTGTAGAGGGACAGGCCCGACTTCAGCCTAGGGTCGTTTTCGGCCTCCTTGAGCTTTATGAAGGCCTGTCCGGAGACTCTGGCAACCCCTTGCTGCCACACCCTTCTGGCACGCGCGGGGCCCTGCAGTGCAGAAGAGGTCGCGTCGGGCTCCACTTCGGCCTCCCGCATCTCACTGAGCAGCGCCAGAGCCCGCTGCCACTGTTCCCCCTTCTCGCACGCGCTCATCCCAGCGCTGTAGCTGACTAATTAGGGCTGCCGCGTGGACTCCGTCCACATCGACCAGCGAGTGCTTGTCGCTGCTTGCTTGTTTCGGCTGCTTGGTGGCTGCTTGCTCGCTTGCTTGTTGCTGCTTCCTTGCTTGCTTCCTGCTTGCTGCTGCTTGCTGCCGAAAGCTGTACTGGGATTCTGCTGACCTGAATCTGGGCCGTTTCGTGTCTCCTTTGGGGCTTTTTGGGGCTACCTTGGAGCCCAGCTGGGCATCCGGCGGTCATGAGGGCGTCCTGGGCCGCCTCAGGATGATCCTGAGCGGCCTTGGGGCCGGATTTGGGCCAAGGCTAAAAATCAAGATGCATACATAAGTATGCGGGTCTTATGTTTAGGTCGGGCATGTCCTCCTACAGGCGGATTTTGAAGGGAAAATCAATCATAGTCAACAATATTCAGAAATGATTTTAAAATAGTCCCCAGACTATTTTTGACTATTCTCGCATATTCCTCCTTTAGAGGGACAACCCCGACTTTAAGCTTAAGCTAATGTTCCAGCGATGTTCCATGGTGGCCGGCGTCGCCCGAGGAGGTCGGAGGATGCGCGCGGGCTGTGCAAGCTCAGAAGAAGTCCGAAGGCACCTCGGAGCATGCCCCCAGTGGCCCGCCTGTCCGGAGCACTCTCGCGGATAACTCCTCGACGAGTTGCCCTTCAGACCAGTGCCTATCCTTATGTTGTTCCCATCCTACTTGAGGACCACATCCCAGAAATAATTTCGAGCACCCGGAAAAGTGTCAAAAGAGTGTCGAAACAGTGTCGGGCGAGTGTCTCCCAGGGCCCGACACGTGAATACTCTTGATCTTCGGTACTTTTTTGGGCGCTCCCTCCTCCTCCTCCTCCTCCTCCTCCTCCTCCTCCTCCTCCTCCTCCTCCTCCTCCTCCTCCTCCTCCTCCTCCGCCCTCCTCCTCCTCCTCCTCCTCCTCCTCCTCCTCCTCCTCCTCCTCCTCCTCCTCCCCTTCCTCCTCCTCCTCCTCCGCCTCCTCCTCCTCCGCCACGTTTTCATTTACCTCCGACGTCTTATCACGCATCCCGTCACCCTCGAGGGCCGAGGTATCCAGGGTCGGCGGCACTGGCCGTAAGGCCTTGGCAACACTTCAAGCAGTCAAAGGGAATCAATGATTTGGGCCTCTCGGGGCCCTTCTTGGAGGCCTCTTGTGACGAACCAACAACACACACCCATACCCATAGGGGGGTCGGAGAGGGCTATGGGTGCGTGTTGTCGGATGGGGGTCCCCGCTCGAAAGGGAGCGTTCCCCAAGGTCCGACAACCCGCACCCATACCCATAGCCAGTCCTCTTCTCAACGACCCCCCTATGGGTATGGGTGTGTGTTGCTCGTTCGTCATCTTGGGGCCCTCTTAGGCCATCGAGCTCGTGGACCATCTGGAGGCGTCTCGGGCCATCTTGGACCGTCTTGCCTGGGGCCCTCTTGGGCCGTCCTGAAGCTCCCCGCGGGGAGCCTGGAACGTGCTGGGACCGGCCGGGGCTGGTTTTGACTCTTCTGATCCGTTGTCCTTCTTGCACGCGGTTCCTCCAGCATTGTAGTATAGACTACGGCTGACCCGTCGCCTTCTGTCCACGAAAGTATCATGCGTGCAGGGATGGAGATCGTTTGCCCACTTGCGTGCTGTCCTGCGCGCATGGTTGCTAGCCTGCTGGCCCGTCAACTGTCTCTCCGACCTTCCTGCTTACATGCTGACCGGATTGCGTGGTATCTTGCTGACCTGCTTGCTTTCTTCATTGCTCGCTCGTGCGCTTGTTGCCGCTTACTGGCCTTTTCAGCTGCTTTGTGTTGCTTGCTGCTTGTTGCGGTCATTTCTGCTGTTACCGTATTGTTTCTGGTGTGTGTTATTGCTTGTTGCGGCTTGCTGCTGCTGATGTGTGCTGGTTGTTGCTGGTAATAATACTAATGCGTGCAACCGGAGCCTACTGCTGATTGCCGCTGCTGCTTTTCCGCTGCAGGTTGCTCTTGCTTGCCAGTGCTGCTTCCCTGCTTGTCTGCTTGCGGGCTGTCATCCTTGCATGGTTGCTATCCTGATGACCCGCCAATTTGTTCGCCTGCTTATATGCTAAGCCTGCTCGCATGGCTTATTGTTTGCTTGATCGCTCCGTTGCTTGCTTATCCGCTCGCTGCCGCGCACTGGTTGTTTAACTAGCTCGCTGCTGCTTGCCCTTATTTGCTGACTAATGTTGCTACTGTCTGCTGCTCTCTGGTGGATGCTGGTTATTGCTGCTTAGCTGCTGCCCGCGTGCTGCTGCTTCTGTGGATTGCGGCTGCTCCTCACCACTGCTGCTTACTGCTGAAGACTGCGCTGCTGCATGGTGCTGGCGAGTTTGATATTTGCATTTGCCCACACTTACGAGTGCTGGCGAATTGGCTGCCTGCTGTAAGCTGCTGATTGATGTTGCTGCAAGTCTGCTGTTTCCTGGTACGTGCTGTTGCTGCCAGCTGCGGCGTACTGCTGCTGCTGCTGCCGCTGCTGCTGCTTACTGCTTGCTGCCTGGTGCTGCTGATTTGCTGGTTGCCTGTTGCTGTTTGGTCTAGTGTTGTGAAGTCTCTGTGGCTTGCGCCTGCTCCTCGCCGATGTTGCTTACTGCTGTAGGCTGCTGCTGCCTGCTGCTGCTGCTGCTGCTGCTGCTGCTGCTGCTCGCTTGATCTGTTTGCCGATTCTGCCCGATGCTACCTGTTGCTGCTACTGCCTGCTGCTGCCGGTTTGAACTGCAGCATGGTGCTGGCGAGTTGGCTGCGTGCGTTTGCAGGTGTGGCGTTCTGCTGCTGGCCGCTGCTGCTCACTGCTGCAGGCTGTTGCTGCTGCTGCTGCTGCTGCTGCTGCTGCTGCTGCTGCTGCTGCTGCTGCTGCTGCTACTCGCTCGTTCTGCTTGCCGATGCTGCCTGATCCTGCCGAGTGCTACTGGTGCCCGCTGCTGCCGATTTGACATGTTGTGTTGTTGCTGCGACCTCCTCGTGGCTGCTGCTGCGGGCTGTGCTGCAGCTGCATGTGCGGGCCGTACTGGGGCTCTCGTGGACCGCATTTGCCGTATGTTGTGGCCCTCCTCGAGCCGTCGTGGTGGGGCCTGCTGGGCTCGAGGTTGGGGGGCTCTCCCAGGGCTTCGGGCGCCTTCGGGGAGCGAAGAGCGAGGAGCGGCTGGCGCACAGACCCCAATGAGACAGTCCTGGGGTGTGCGGCCTCGGCGCACGCGTGGCTCCACACCTGGGCCTGTCGTGCCTGGCTCGCTGGCCCTGTGGGCCGTCCGGGAGCCTCCTTGGGGCTCGAGTGGGAGCGCTCCGAGGCCCTGCGGAGCCTCTTGGGGCACTCTACGGTCCAGGGCCCCGGCTCCCCCGCCCCCCCCCCCAAAATGCGAATGGGATCGCAACGACGACGACGACGCCGACGCCGACGCCGACGCCGACGCCGACGACGCCGACGGAAGACGAACCCACAGCCATGGGGGCGGGGCACCCAGCACCATGCCACCTCCACAGGGTTACGACCACAGGACGGCGGTGGGGCGATCCCATTCGCGAGGCCGTCGCGAGGCTCACAGGCATACCCATCCAGCGGGGGAGGGGGGGCGGCCCCCCCAAAAGGTAATGAAATCCCCCCCCCCCACCCCCCCGATGGGTCCTCCTCTTCTGAGGGGGTGAGGTGGTGCTGCTGTTGAACCCTCGTGGGTGCTTATTCTTCGGGGCTCGTGCCGCGTGCGCTGAACCCTCGTCGTCGTCGTCGTCATCGCCGTCGTCGGTGTCCGTCGTCATCGTCATCGTCGTCGTCCACCACCACCCCCCCGCCAGATCCCGAGAACATCTATGGCCATCTGGGCGTTCGTTGAGCCCCTGGGTGCTGTTCTAGGAAGAAATCTTACGGCAGTGCGGGCGAGCCTTGGCATCGGGACCTCGGGAGGCCTCTGGGGGGATCAAACTAAACAGAATACCCCAAATAACTGACGAGGTTAGACACATTAACAACGTAACTAATGAACCAATCAACCAGTTAACAAGTCGACCATAACTAGCCCCCAATCAACAAATTGACAAACAAGGTTCGATTATGGGCAGCTCTCCGTGAACCATCAAGGGACATCTTGAAGCCATCCTGAGGCTTCCGGGGCCGTCTTGAGACGTGCCTGATGCCTCCCGGGCCATTCCAGAGCCCTCCCGGAAAGCACGATGGCCATCATCGGAAGTTCTGGAGCCTCTCTGGGGGCCCCTCGAGGGCCTCTGGTAGCCTGTTGGGGCGGGCCGAACCGACTTGTTCCCCTTTTGATCCCCACCCCTCTGGCGCGCGATGGATCTGGCAAAGAGATTAATCTAGGGTGGACCAGTGGACTTCCGTCCACTTAAGCTTTCTCTCGTGCAGTCAGTGTTAAGGATCTTCCTGTCTGCTCGGTTGGTTCCTGTCCTACTTGCAAGGCTTGGCCTACTGGCCCTGGAGGGTCGCGTGGCTACCGCGACTGCCTTTCTCACAACTTCACTCGCACGGAGGGGATTGGAATTCAGGAGCAACATCTCGAAGGGCAATCCTGCGAAGGACAGCGCACGACAGGCACGACGCGGCATGGCCCTGTTGGTACTGCTTGCCGCCGCATGCTTTTTGTTGCTCCCATCGTACTCAAGGACCACACCCCAGAAATAATTTCGCGCACACAGAGAAGTATCGAAACAGCGTCGAACGAGTATCACCTCCCAGGGCCCGATACGCGAAAACCCTGCGGTTTCGGTACTGTCATGGTGCTCGGAATTCTTTCTGGTGGCCAAGGCTAAAGCAGGTTGGAACATCAGAACGCGTGCTGCGTCTGCTTGCTCGTGCGACGTGCTGTTGGTACTTTCTGCTGCTCGGTGGCGGTCGCTGCTGCGTGCCGCCGCTCGCTGCTGGGCATTCCTTGAGCTCCAGGAGTGGAACTGGCCGAGATAATCTCGGGGCCCATTTTCGACCAGACGTAAGAATGACCTTTCGCCGGAGTGACCTTTGATGCGGGCCCAAAGGGGCCCCCCATCGCCGAGCGCGAGGCGGCAAGTGGCGTCTTGCGCGTTTGGAAGCCGCGCACCAAAGGTCATTCTTGCCCAGAGCCACTCTTGTGTAGCTGACATCTTCGGGCCATACGAGGACCGTCTTGGAGCTCTGCTGACGGGCATTCAATACGTTCGAGACGGACGCAAGCCTGATCGTCGACCCGGCCGTCGTCGATCAGGATCTGCTGTGGCTGTACTCCAGCGCTCGGGTGCTCCTCGTCAACCTCACTCCGAGTCTGGCGCCCCCCTGGCACGCACTGCGCCTGGCACCGTAGGAGAGATGACGTCTGGCTCCATCTTCGCCTGCCAGGAGTCCCTGAGCAAAGACAAGCTGTGCTGCCAGAGACAACGCTTCACGCATGCGCTGACTGCAGCGTTGTCCGCCGACCCCCCCGCTTGCCAGGGGCGAGGAGACCAGCGTGTCCAGACCAAAAAAACAGCACTCACGCACTCACTCAGTGAGACGTTCGCCTGCAAATTGCCGCCTGGGGGTTGCGCTGTTGTTCCCGCTTTTCAAGCCTCGTTGCTTCCTCATGCCGTTGACATTGCCAGATTGGAAGACCAAGCCTGGCGTGTCGAGCCTCATGCTCGCACCGCCCCTCACCTCCATCCTCCATTACTCCAACTATGTTACTCATCACCCGTTTCTTCCATCTCCTCATCTCCCCATCTTCATCCTTCGCCCCAACATCAGCCCCCTATCATCGTGCGCCCCCCTCTTCAGACCCAACACTCCACAGCAGACCCAGAGAATATCCAAGAGGTCTCAACCAAAGGAACAAACATTACTTTAACAAAAGCTGTCGCCGGTCCGCGCGGATTTCTTGGATCTGCGCTGGACCCCCCTCCCTGGCGCGCCAGAGGCGGCGCCGGAGGCGCCGCCGGAGGGGCCCAGCGCAGACCCAGGAAATCCGCGCGGAGTGTCGAAAGTTTATGTGTATGCCCTGTTATCTTCTTCGATCAACGGAGGGCTGATCACTAGGAACATGTTCGCAAGGAAGTTCCAGCATGCTGCTGACAATCCCCTATCCTACCTGCCTCCCTGACCCTCCTGGGTGTCACATCTCTCTTCGTCGTCCTCCTGCGCTCTACCGCGCCCGGGAATTCAGGGTGATCGGCGGGACGGCGCAAGCCTCTTGAGTAACTGACGATACTTGGCTCCAGGTTCACATGCCTCGTTTCGCTGAGCAGCGATAGCGCCTGCTGCCACTGACTGCCCTTCCCTTGCAATGCCCCTACCTGTCGACAGCCCCCAGATCCAGGAAATGATTAGAGGAGGAGAAGGAGGAGGAGGAGGAGGAGGAGGAGGTCAACTTAGCTGAAACATTATCAGAACAGATATTGAAGGAAGTGTATGAACACGTCTGCTCTTAAATCGGCGGCGAGCGAGGGGGGGAAGAGAGAAGGAGAAGGCCTTCTCAGAAGGCGGCGGGACTGCTCAGAAGCCCTCGTGCCTTCTGAGAAAATCTCTGTCTTCGGGGAAGGCTTGGAAGACTTCTCAGAAGGCCGGGGCCCTTCCGAGCCTTCTTGGAAGGCCCGCCGCCCCTTCCCACTTCCCCCCCTCGCTCGCCGCCGATCGAACACAGATCTAGCCCACCAGTCGCTGGAATAATGAGACGGCGCGTGGGGCACGCGAAGCAGCTGCCCCCTGCACAGACAGCCCCGCCCCCCCCCCCCGGCATCTCGAACGCCTGTCCTGCGCGCCGATGGCTTCGCTCCCCCCCCCCATCAGCACAGCGTCGGTGGTGCGCAGGCGACGGCAGCGCGGGCCATGCTGGGGCGGTCGCTCGCACAAGAGAAGCAAAGCAAAGGGGGGGGGATCGAGGAGGAGGGGAGGAGGATCGAGGGGGAGGGGGATCGAGGAGGAGGATCGGGGAGGAGGAGGTGGAGGAGGAGGAGGAGGAGGAGGAGGAGGAGGAGGGGGATCGGAGGAGGAGGGGGAGGAGGAGGAGGAGGGGGGAGGTCGCTCGCACAAGAGAAGCAAAGCAAAAGCCCCAGACCAGCCCTTGTCCCTGCATGGGCCACTTCTGGCACCAGACCCAGCGCCGCCCCCACGCCATCCCGGCACCCCAACTTCGCATCTGCCCAGATCTAGAGGCAACTTCGCCTCTGCCTAATCTAGAGGCCTCCTGGATGGGGTCCGAGTAGATGGGGTCGAAGGATCGCGCCACATCGCCAATGCATCGGCGATGCATCGCCGATGCCTCGCCCATGCATCGCCGAAGTCGGCGATGCATCGGCGACGTCGGCATGGAGAAAATCGGGCTCCGCATCGAGCCGCATCGTCGATGCATCGCCGACCCCATCTGCTCGGACCCCATCTAGGATCGAGGAGGCCTAGAGAACCCCAGCTCGGCTACAGCCTGGCATGTCGGGCGACGACCGCCAGCAGCTCCGTAGGTTTCAGGCAGACAAGTTAACGACAAATGAGTTCATCGGCTTCGTTGATACGGATGCTGTCTTCACCACGCCAGTTGTAGAAGAGAGCATTCTCGACAAGGATGGGTCGATCATCATCGGGAAGGTCGGAAAGTTTGGGGGGAGTTCTCGGTCGGAGGTGCCAAAGTCGCTCCACGCCCTGCCTGGGGCCGACCCCCCGCAGGCGAACCGCCGCCGGCCGCCGGAGAGAGCCTGCCTCTCTTCGGGAGCGGCCAAGAGGGGGGTGTCCAAGAGGGGGGGGGGGGGGGGGGGCAAATCATGACCGGCGGCATGTGCGCGGCCCAGCGGGGGGGCCAGGGACGCAATGAAATGAGAAGAGGCGCCATGAAATCTGGGGAAATATCATGGCCCACGCCATGATATCCACCCCCCCCTAGTCATCACCCCCCTCTTTTCCGCCCCCGATCTCTGGAGCCCCGGCCCTCCGGCCGAGGCCGACCTGCGCCTCGCCGGGGCGTGCCTCCCCGGGAGGCGCCCCCTTCGCGCGCCCCGTGGCCCCCGGGGGAACTCCGCCGGAGGCCCCGGCCCCAGCGGCCGCGGCCGCACGGCGGCCCCGACTCGCTTCGGCACGCCCCTCGCGCGCCGCGCGGCCCCGCCATCGAAGGGCGCCACCGAAGCGGCGGACCTGATGGGACCCCGTGCGCGGGCCCCTACGGGCGACGAAGGCCCCCGCGCCGCACGCCGGATCGTGACGCGCCCCCCGTGGTCGGCGCTCCAAAGGCCGAGCCATGCGAGCCCATTCCGAACGTCGTGGTGGACCGCCTGCTCGCCCCTGGTTGCCGCAACCATCCGCATTCCCGATCAGGCAACGACTACGTCACGCAAAGATCGGGGGGGGGGGGTATAGTGTGTTCTTCAAGTGCAAACATGGTACATATATATATATATATATGTTTATATGTGTATATATATACATATGTATATTTGTATATACAGCTGGTGACTCATATATATATATATATATATACGTATATATATATATGTCTGCATATGTATGTATATATATACATAGATGTATACATATACATATATATATATATATATATATATATATATATTATATATTATATATATCGATGTATATGTATATTTTACTGTGGCATGATTCAAAGTCGTAGCGACTGTCCACACTAGGAGCATTGCAACCCTTACCGCACGCGCTGATTGCAGCATTGTAGCTGAGGATGGCACTCTGCGTGCCTGACCGTAATACGTCTCGAAGTAATTCAAACGTCGCTGACCACTGCTTTGACTCCCCGTTCTTTTTGATAGCGCTTGCGAGACAACCGCCCGTCAGCGATTGCCTCCCCTGCCACCTCACGCTTCCAGACATATGCGCCGCAGCGTGTTATGTCTCAGCAAGCGGCAACTGAGATACTGGTGGCCTGGGGGCAACGGGGAAAATGCATGAGCTGGCCTTCAGCCGAAAGAAACGGATACAAGGATGATGAGAATAATATGCGTAGAAAACAAATGATGTAGAATTTGCATGCGTGGTTCGAGCACCCTAAAGCAGAATTCATCCGAATGACGCGCCTGGCATGGTCGCGCAAACCGACATCGACATCGTCCTGACGAACGAATTCGACAAACTGGCCAAAGTCAGAACGGCTGGATACATCGAAACACGGCTCGAAACGAACCATGCCATCCGCGTGAAAGGAAGGATAACGCACTGATTCAACAAGGACTCACCTGTTAACGGATGCCGAGGCCGACGGTACATACCTCTGTGAGGCAATGCTGCCAATGCGTCCCTGGCAAAGGCTCATAACCGACTGCGACCACCCGGCAATCGCGCACTGGTTGATGAGAGCCACGTCGTGAAGCTCTGACTCAATGGCAGCAGCGGTTCGAGCCAGGCAGTGAACTGCGAGGCGATAGACCGTCGACACCGCAAACGTCGACGAATGTACGATAATCGACGCCGAACGAAAATTCCCCTTCTGTTGCATATGGCTGCCGGAATGTGTTCCTCGAGCATGCCAGTCTTCCGAAAACCAAAGCCACGGCTCGCCTCCCACACCTCGCCGGGCAGCGCCAGTCCCCTGCCACTGCTCGTTCTCCTTGCACGCGCTGATGCCAGCGCGGTAGACGCTGGGCTCGAGCTTCGCCTCCCGCATCTCGCTGAGCAGCGCCAAAGTCCACTGCCACTGATCGCTCTTTTCGCACGGGCTGATGCCAGCGCGGCGGCTACTGACGCTGGGCTCGAGCTTCGTCTCCAACATCTCGCTGAGCAGAGCAACAAAAAACCTGCTGCCACTGGCCGCTGTTCTCGAACGCGTTAACCGTCGCCTCCCACATGTCGCGGAGCAGAACCACAGCTCGATGCCACTGAGCGCCATTCTCGCACGCGATGATCCCAGCGCTGTAGCTGACCAGGGCTTACCCGTGGCCTACCAGCCACGAAATCTGTCCGAGATGGCACGTTGGACCAGGGCAGAGATGTTGCCGAAATGATTTCGTGATGGCGTCGGGACCGAACTTCGCCTCTGCTGTTGCAGCCTGCAGCTGCAGGGTGCTGCTGCCTGCGGCATGTTGTTGATGCTTACTTCTGCTGTGCTGCCGTTGCCTGCTGTGGACTGCTGGTGTTCGCTGTTGCTGCTTGAGGCTGCAGAGTGCTGCTGATTGGTGCCTTTGCTAGACGATGCAACCTGCAGCTCGTGAGATATGGAAAATGGGGGGGGATGCAAGATTACATGCAAATTGCCACACGCGAGGGTGAGCGATTGACTCTGGCCTTGGCGAGGTGGTGGAATGTATTGTCGTTAGAAAGAAGAGAATCAATATTGCGAGCGAGCAAAAAGTGCGCCGCAAACGCGATGGGTCGCGGGTGGGTCGCGGGTGGGTCGCGGTGGGTCGCGGGTGGGTCGCGGGTGGGTCGCGGGGGTCGCGGGTGGGTCGCGGGTGGGTCGGGGGTGGGTCGCGGTGTCGCCGGGGGGTCTCGGGATGGGTCGCGGGCGGGTCGCGGGGTGGGTCGCGGGTGGGTCGCGGGTGGGTCGCGGGTGGGTCGCGGGTGGGTCGCAAGTTGGTCGCGGGGTGGGTCGCGGGTGGTCGCGGGGTGGGTCGCGGGTGGGTCGCGGGTGGGTTGCGGGTGGGTCGCGGGTGGGTCGCGGGGCGGGTCGCGGGTGGGACGACGACAACAACAAACAACAAACAACAAACAACAAACAACGACAACAACAACAGCAACAACAATAGCAACAACCAACAACCAACAATCAAGAAGAGAACAATATAAATAACAATAACAATAGCAATACTATTGATAACAACAACAACAACAACAACAACAACAACAACAACAACAACAACAACAACCGCAGCAACAGCAGCAGCAACAACAACAACACGAATCCGCATCGCAGAATTTCACTTCAGCCACTCACCCAGGGACAGTGAATGACCGTTCGGTTCAGCCCCCTCACTCTGACGACGGAAATGGACAGATGTTTGCCTCTTGAAGGCCCTCTTGGGGCCCTGTTCGGCCATCTTCAAGCCATCTCGGGCCCTCTTGGGCCTCGCTGAGGCTGTCCTGGGGCCCAGTAGGGGGCACTGGGAGCCCAGAAGTCATGTTCCGGGAACATGATTTCGAACGAGGTCCTCTTGGGCCTCCCTGAGGCCGTCGCGGGGGCCTCCTGGGCCGGCTTCGGGGCCTCTCGGGCCGTCTTGGGGGGTTCCGTGAGCCCCACAGGCCGACCCTTTTGAGCCGTCTTGGGCCCTCTTGGGTCTCTCTTGGGCTGTCTTAGGGCTCCTCGGGGGCGTCTGGGGCACTGCGAAGACGAAGCCAGCGAGTATGCTGAAAATGTACGTTTTACGACGGAAATAAGCCAATGTTTGCCTCTTGAAGGCCATGTCGGGGCCCTCTTCGGCCATCTTGAAGCCATCTCGGGCCCTCTGGGGCCTCGCTGAGGCTGTCTTGTGGGCCTCTTGGGCGTTCTCGGAACCGGGAAATCATGTTCCCGGAGAGGCTTCCGGGAACATGATTTCGAACGAAGCCCTCTTGGGCCTCCCTGAGGCCGTCTTGGGGGCCTCCCGGGCCGGCTTCGGGGCCTCTTGGGCCGTCTCGGGGGGTTCCGTGAGCCCCACAGGACGACCCTTTTGGGTCTTGGGTCTTTCTTGGGCTGTGTTGGGGCTCTTCGGGGGCGTCTGGGCACTGTGAAGACGAAGCCAGCGAGTATGTCGAAGTTCTACGTTTTACAGAAGAAATGGGCTGATGTTTGCCTCTTGAAGGCCCTCTTGGGACCCTCACGGGCCCTCTTGGGGCGCTCTTGGGCGTCTTCGGGGCCTCTTCAGGTTTTCTTGACCATCTGTACGGCCCGCGTGGCCTGTTGTGGGCAATTTGGAAGCGGCCCGGGGCAGTCCCGGGGGGCCTGTGACCCCCCAAAGGTTCGGGGGGCGGCCATGGGGGATGACGGCACCGATTTTGGTCCCACCCCCCGCCGACTCATATATATATATATATATATATATATATATATATGTGTGTGTGTGTGTACACATGGGGTGTGTGTGCGTATGAATGAATGTATGCATGCAGGCATGTCTGTCTGTCTGCCTGTCTGTTTGTATGTTTGTCTGTATGTATGGCTGTGTGTACGTACGTCGATGAGTGGGTCGGTCGGTCGGTCGGTAAGTGGGTAGGTAGGCAGGTAGGTAAGTATGTCTACACATCTGTCTGTATAGATAGAGATGTAGATACACCTGTGTCTACAACTACATATGAACCTGAATCTGTATACACGCTCGTGCATCTACACACCTGTAACAGCTAACGTTGGGCCCTAGCCTACGCTCCCGCGATTCGCTGAGAAGCACAAGGGCCCGCTGCCACTGCCTAACCTTCTCGCACGCCCTGATCCCAGCGCTGTAGCTGCGTGTTTTCGGCGCGCAATCAACCTCGTCCAGCACGCGCTGATCCCGTCGATGTAGCTGAATGTCTTCGGCGCGCACGCAGCCTTCTCAAGCCCAGGAGAAGTCATAGTGGTGCTGAACACGGGGCGTGTTGGCCAACTGCATCCTCTATAACGCCTCCCAGGCCTGGCCAGCCGGAAGGCCTCACAACCACAGCACCCGCGAACCCGTGGCCCGCAGCGCCCCCCGGAGCTCTGGCAACGCCGCGAGGATAGGGGTCTACATGCGAACCCTACCCCTACCCCCCACGATTTCTGAGGGGGAGGGTGGGGTTCACTTCGCTCGGGAGCTCCCGAAAGAAGTGACCCCCCCCTCCCCCTGAGAAATCGTTGGGGGGTAGGGGTAGGGTTCGCATGTGGCCCCCTAGAGGAGCTGCGCGTGGAGGGCAGGGGGCGGGTTCACGACCAGCATCCCCGATCCCTCCAGGGCGTCTCCACGCGGCCACGCGCCCCCGAGCCACAGCTCGGCCACCAGCACGCGGCCCGCGGCGAGGCTCTGGACGCGGCTGTGCAGACCCGCGACCTTCTCCTGTGAAGGGGCCCCAGGACACACACAAATAAATACACATAAATAAAACAAATCCCCATATTTTCCCATATCTTCTGGGTTGTCCGTCTTTCCCCCCGCTTCCCATATTGTCACATATTTTCCGGGGGGTCGACGATTAAATGTGTCTGTGTGTTTTTTTCCCTCCTGATCCTGGTCCACCAGCGGGTACCACAGGGCCACGCAGCTGGAGGGCGACCTCTGGAGCAGGCGCCTGAGGGCGAACACGTTCCACGTGTTGTGGGACTGTATGGAATCGTATGGCGGGTCCAGGAGCACCAGCTCCCGCCCGCTGAGCCAGGGCCAGGGCCCAAAGGTGAGCCGCAGGTACGAGTCGTCGTGCAGCAGCGAGAGGCGGCGACCTTCCCCTCGGTCCAGCAAGGAAAAGCTCCGCCTCAGGGCCTCGTAGGGCTTGGTGGCGACCTCGAACAGAACGGCGGTGTCCTGCGGCCTCAGCCACTGCCACGCCAGCGCCGGCGAGCCTGGGTAGAGTTTCAGGTCGCGCGAGGAGGAGCCCAAGGCCTGGTTGCACCTCCATACCGCGGCCAAATAGTCTGAAACAAGACCTCCGCCGCTGCGGTCAGCTGCGCGTGACGCCCGGAGCACGCCCCTCTCACACATCTGGCATTGGAGCGTCTCCTCGGCACTGAGGTCGTAGACACCAGAAGCGGCGTGCATGTCAATGGTTGAGGAAGAAACAATGGCACAAACATGAACTGTCGGAGGTCCGCGCGGGCTCCCCAGATCGGCGCCCTGGCACGCGGAGCGCGCGAGGGGCGACGCCAGAGGCGCCCCTCCAGGGGGCTCCGGCGCCGATCCGAGAAATCCGCGCGGACCTCCAAAAATGGGAGGGCGAAAACCCGCCCCCCCGCCCCCAGCCCCGACCCCATCCCCGAACCCGCGATCCTGGGGGTCGGGACTGGGAGCGGGGGGGGTTCTCGAGGTCCGAGGATGGAAAAACGCCCCCCGGCTCCCAGTCCGGACCCCTTGCATCGCGGGCTCGGGGATGGGAGTCGGGACTGGGGGTGGGGGTGGGTTTTCGCCTTCTGAAAACAGTTCACCCATCGGTCGGAAGAAGTATAGGTAGAAACACGACGTAGGAAGGCGTTGAAAGTATATTGGGTGTCCGCCCGCCCCCTAAGGAGGACGGAAAAGGTGAAGCCACTCGATCATTGAAGTAGGACGGCGCTCAAAGTAGATTGGAATCTGGGGCTCCAAATATACCTATCTTCAGCGACCGAGGGGTGTGCTCATGTCACTCTCTGATCCCCCGAGATGAAAGTGAAGGGCTCTGCGCCCGCCGCCATCTGCTGCAGCAGGGCCACGAGCACGACGTGCTTGAAGACGTCCTTGGGGCCGCCCGCCTATCGGGAGCGGCCAGGAGGGGGGCGTCCAGGAGGGGGGGGTGCAAATCATGACCGGCGGCACCTGCGCGGACCAGCGGGGGGGCCAGGGACGTAATGAAATAAGAAAAGGCGCCATGAAATCTAGGGAGATATCATGGCCCCCGCCATGATATCCCCCCCCCCCTACAGTCGGGGCCCTGAAGAAGGAACCCTTTTTGTTGGGGAGGGGCTCCGTGTTCCTTAGTTGCTTTACAGTGCTCCTTGGGTTTTCCTGAGATTTTCCATGGAACATCGGAGCTTAATGTATGGGAAAAAGGGGCCTCGTTCCTTATTTATCGTTCCTTAGGCCAACGCCCCGACTGTAGTCACCACCCCCCTCTTTTCCGCCCCCGACGCCTCGAGGGCGTGCACGTACCAGCCCTCGCCCGGGCCGTCGGCCGCGGCAGGGTCCACGCGGGCTCCGAGCATCGACTCGAGCAGGTCGAGGGCCTGGGCCAGGAGCGGTCGGCAGCGAGCCGGGAAGGCGGGCCGCATCGAAGGAAGGGGAGCTGGGACACACAAATAAATACATACAAATAAAAGGACTCCCCATATTTTCCATATTTTCGGGGTTTTTGTCTCCCCCCCCACTTCCCATATTTTCCCATATTTTCCTGGGGATCGACGATTAATTGTGTCTGTGTGTTTCTTTCCCTCCTGATCGAAGTCGTCGCCGGGTCGGGCTGCGCATCGGCGCGGAGTCGGCATCCGATCGGAAGGGCGGCGCCAGAGCCGACATCGACTCGGATCGACCGGATCGGAAACGCACCCTGCCTTGGTCCACAACTCGCTGACCTCGCACGCCCTGATCCCAGCGCTGTAGCTGATGACGGTGGGCTCCAACTTGGGCTCCCGCATCGCGCTGAGCAGCGCCAGAGCCCGCTGCCACTGCTTCCCTTTCTCGCACGCGCTGATCCCAGCGTTGTAGCTGAGGGCGTCGGGCTCTACAATCACCTCCCACATCTCGTTCAGCAGCGCCAAAGCACGCTGCCACTGCTCGCCATTCTTCCACGCGCTGATCCCAGCGTTGTAGCTGACTAGGGCTGGCCCGTGGACTCCTTCCACGTCAACCAGGGTAACCAGCGTGTAACTGCTGTTTGTTTACTCAGACTGCTTGTTGCTAGCACTGCTTGCGATCAGTTTGTCTACTTGGATTGGCTTGCTGCTTGCTGCTTGCTTACAGGTTTGCTTACTTGTTGCTTGCTTGCTTACCAGCTTACCTGCTTGCTTGCTTGCTTACTGGCTTGCTGGCTTGCTGCGTGCCTACTGCTGCTGATTGCTGCCCCTTGCCGCCGGAAGCTGTAGTGGGGTCTCCTGGGCTGAATCTGGGCCTTCTCGTGCCTTCCTTGGGGCATCTTGGCCTACCTTGGAGTCCGGCTGGGCTTTCGAAGGGTAAGGGGGGCCAGGGATCAAGCGGGCTGCGGCAGGGGACGTCATGGGCCGCCCCTGGAAATTCGAAAATTCAGAAGCGGGTGCGCGCCTCATTTTCCAACGACGTTCTATCTTGGCTGTGGCCGCCCGCAAAAGTCGAGAGAGGCGCGCTGGCTGCTAGGCTCGGAAGATCGGGGGCGACGATAGGGGTGAATAGCCGAGGGGCGGGCGTTACACGCATTCGCCCGGGAGCCTCACCGAAGGCATGTACCATCGGCGCCCCTGGATACGTGTATTTGCTCCCCCCTGGGCTACTCGCCCCTGTCGTCGCCTCCGAGAAGAAGGCAGAAGGCACTGCGGAGCTTGCCCCGAGTGGCCAGCGGGCCCAGGGCACTCTCCAGGAGAACCCCCCAACGGGTCGCCCGGTCAGACCGGAGCCGCTCCAGAGGAGGGAGGAGCATCGGAAACGCATGGGTGCCTCATTTTCCTGCCGGCGCGGTCCCAGAGCTCGGCAAGGGGTCTCTCCTCCGAAGCCTCTTGGAGGCGGTTTTGCGGGTGTCTTGGGGCCTCTTGAGGGCTTCTCTGGGCCTGATTTGGGTCTCTTGGGGGCCTTATGGGGCTTCAAGGGGGGCCACTTAGGTCGAGTTCCCCCTCTTGGACCCTCTTGGAGGCCTGTTGGAGCGATATTGTGAGCCTCTTGGGTCGTCGTGGAGAGTCGGAAGAAGCCAGAGAAGGCGAGAACAGCAGCATCCTTCGAACAAGACTTGCAACATCACTGGTTTGGGCCTCGCAGGGCCCTCTTGGGCCGTCTTGGGGGCCTATTGGGTCGACTGAAAGCTATATTAGCGACCTCTTGAAACGGCTGGAGGCGTCTCGGGCCCTCTGGGACCGTCTCGAAGCCCCCCAGGGCCCGCCAAGGGCCCGCCGAGGGGTCGATCTTGGCCACTGGAACGGCGTCCCGGTGCCCACCCTTCGGCCCCGCGCTTCTTCCTGCCGCACAGGAGTGGAGGAGAGACGATCGATTACACCTACTCGAGGAGGAGGAGGAGGAGGATGAGGATGAGGAGGAGGAGGAGGAGGAGGAGGCGGAGCAGGAGGAGGAGGAGGAGGAGGAGGAGGAGGAGGAGGAGGAGCAGAAGGAGGAGGAGGAGGAGGAGGAGGAGGAGGAGGAGGAGGAGGAGGAGGAGGAGGAGGAGAGACTATCGATTACACCGCGTCGCCGCGCCTCCGACCTTCGGCAGCCGCGCGCAAAATGTGCTTGACTTGACCCCCCCATCAGGCCCCGCTGGCCTCTTTTGGGGGGTGCTTTGGGCGTGGGCCGCCCCCCTTTTGGGGGGGCCTTCGAAGCTGGCTCGGGCGGCGCCTTCGGTGCCTTGGCAAGCCACTCGCTCGGCCTCCAGGCGAATCCTGAAGAAGGCCATCTCCTTCACGTACTCGCCCCGAGCCGACAACCAGCGGGGACCCACGGGAGGCGAGAAAGGCAGCTGGGCATCCCGCCCCGCGCGGAGGCTGGTGAGCCGCGACGGCGGGGCCTCCATCCCCGCGAGGAACCAGGCTGTTCCCACCAGACAACCACGGTCCCCCGCCAGCTGGCCGATGAACGTGCGCTGGCATGCCACGAAGGTCTCCACCCTGTCCGCGTCGCCGCTCGGGCGTCCGCCACAGCTCCACGCTCCGCCACGCTAGACGCGTCGGCATCTCGCGCGTCGCTGGGCGGGCTCCCAGCGGGCTCTGCTCGCGAAAGTGCGGGATCATAGCCGCGAGGGCCACCGCAGCGACCTGAATGCCAAGGCACGGGCCAAGTTCGCCCTCATCAGGGCGCACACCTCGGGCCCGTGTTGAACCAATGCCTGCCGACCCCGCGCACCGTGGCCTCGGCGGATGGCGCGGCCGATTGAGCATTCCCAGTAGCGGGCGGGGCGCTGCACGGGGGCGGTGCGATCGCGGGAGCGCTCCTCGCAGACGCAGCAGAGCCAGATCCAAAATGGCCTCTGGGCTTCTGGTGGGGTGGGGCCTCTCGCCTCCGAAGCCCCCCCCCGCCGCCTAAGCCCATCCGAAGCACCCGCCCCCCGCCTGAGCCGAGGGCCCCGACGGGCCAGGCCAGAACAGGAGGCGCCGGGAGCGGCGGTGGCGCAGGAGGCGGGGGGAACGGCGGCTGAGCGCTCCCAGGTCTGCCCTGGCCCAATGCCGCCACCAGGGCGGACGCCGGCGTCGGCGCGCGGCTCTGGACCCGTTGAGGGGCTGCGGGGGACTGGGCGAGCATGGCTTGCAGGTCGTCCTGAGGGATCCCTCCCCGCACGCGCCGCTCAGTCGGCGAAGAGCCACGGCACTTCGGCGGCGGGACCCGCGCGGGCCCAGGGGGGTGCCAAGCAGAGGGGCCACCGTCTGGGCCGCCTAAACGGCCATCGGGCGGGGGATCTCCACCTGGAATCATCGGCACGGATCATCGGCGCCCCCTCGTCGAAGGCTGCTGCAGGGGCGCCCGCAGCCCTCGGGCGAGCCGCGGCACCCGCCGTCTTCGGGAAGGCGGCCAGCCCGCCCCCCCCCCCCCCCCCCCGCAGGGGCGGAGGAGGCATTGCGGCACGAGGGGCCCCCCAGAGGAAGAGGCACGTCGGCGGCCCCCCCAGAGGAAGGCACGGTCGGCGTCTGCCTCCCTCTCCTCCTTCCTCCTCCTCCTCCTCCTCCCCTCCTCCTCCTCTCCTCCTCCTCCTCCTGCTCCTCCTCCTCCTCCTCTCCTCCTCCTCCTCCTCCTCCTCCTCCTCCTGCTCCTCCTCCTCCTCCTCTGCTCCTCCTCCTCCTCCTCCTCCTCCTCCCTCTCCCTCCTCCTCCTCCTCTCCTCCTCCTCCTCTCCTCCTCGCTCCTCCTCCTCCTCCTCCTCCTCCTCCTCCTCCTCCTCCTCCTCCTCCTCCGCCTCCTCCTCCTCCTCCCCTCCTCCTCCTCCTCCCTCCTCCCCTCCTCCTCCTCCTCCTCCTCCTCCTCCGCCTCCTCCTCTTCCTCCTCCTCCTCCTCCTCCTGCCTGCTCCTCCCTCCTCCTCCTCCTCCTCCTCCTCCTCCTCCTCCTCCTCCTCCTCCTCCTCCTGCTCCTGCTCCCCTCCTCCGCCTCCTCCTCCTCCTCCTCCTCCTCCTCCTACTCCTCCTCCTCGCTCCCCCTCGTTCTCTCCTCCTCCTCCTCCTCCTCCTCCTCCTCCTCCTCCTCCTCCTCCTCCTCTCCTCCTCCTCCTCTCCTCCTCCTCCTCCTCCTCCTCCTCCTCCTCCTCCTCCTCCTCCTCCGCCTCCTCCTCCTCCTCCTCCTCCTCCTCCTCCTCCTCCTCCTCCTCCTCCTCCTCCTCCCTCCTCCTCCTCCTCCTCCTGCCTCCTCCTCCTCCTCCTCCTCCTCCTCCTCTCTCCTCCTCCTCCTCCTCCTCCTCCTCCTCCTCCTCCCTCCTCCCCTCCTCCTCCCCCTCCCCCTCCTCCCCCTCCTCCTCCCCCTCCCCCTCCTCCTCCGCCACTCGCTCGTCCGCTGAGGGGCAGAGGGTCGTCCGCTCCGTCCTCCCCCTCCCCCTCCTCCTCCGCCACTCGCTCGTCCGCTGAGGGGCAGAGGGTCGTCCGCTCCGCACCTGGGCGCGGTTCCTCCCCTTCGTCGGGGGCCGCCCCGCGGATCGCGACGCAGCCATCGCGCAGGGCGCGGACCCCCGATGGGGTGCGGCCAGGAAGGGCACTGCCCCCTCGGCGCCCCCGTCAGTCAGCGGGTGCAGAGCCTCCAGCTCCATCTCCGCGACCTCGAGGCCGACTACCAGCACGGAGGCGGTGGTGCTCGGCGGGCGGGATGCCGCGCCGAGCACGGGCACATCGACTCCTTTTAGACGGACCGAGCAGCCCTTGGAAGCCATCGGCCTCCTCGTGGCTGAGGCCCTCAGCGGAACGCCGAGGGCAGCGCCGGCAAGACACCCCCAGGCCGAGAGGCTGCGAGGGGGATCGCGGCGCAGCCTACCTCGCCGTCGTCCAGGCGCCAATGGCCGCACCTGCTGGCCTGAGGCGCCTCGAACGGGTAGAGGCCAGGCCAGACTGGCCCCTCGGGGATGCGACTTGCCTCTCCCGCTGGAGCGGAGGCGGCCGCCATGCCCGACGGCTCGCGCAGAAGGCCACGCGGGCCTCCTGAGGGGACTAGCCCCGGTGCGCGGCCGGGCACGAGCTCCGAGCCCAGGCTCGAGCGCGATCCTCAGCCTGAGCCCCTGGGCAGTAGGCCAATGCGCGCCGCGCGCCCGACCGTGCCCCGCAGGGGCACCGATCGTTCCGCGCGCGCGCGGGTGAAGGGCAGCCGCCCACACCAGCGGGCCGCTGGGGCCCCGATGCAGCAGCCGCCACAGAGGCTGCAGAAGGCCATGCCGCCAAGCAGCGCCACGGCCGAGGAGAGCGGCAGAGGCGCAGCCCCGCGGCTCACGTCCACCGCCAGCCCGCGGCAGGCGGCGGGGACGGGCCGAGCCCGAGCTGGCAGGGGGGGGGGCACTGCCCCCCGCCGCGGGGTCTCCCTGGGCCGCCCACGCCGCTCCGAGGTGCGCGGTTGCTGGGGGGGGGGGGGCTGGCCAACGAGCCGCTCGCAGAGCGCGGCCCGAAGGCCTCGAGGGAAAACCTCGCCCGCCCCCCCGATTCGATGGCCCCCTGGGCAGAAGCGCCGGCACGAGGCGCCAGCCGGGGGGCCGCGGGGAGAGCTGCCGGGCCGAACAGCCGCAGGTGGGCCGCAAGCTGGGGGGCCCCAACAAGTTTCCATCGCACGCAGAAGCTCTAGACCACGATCTGCAGAGCCTGCTCCCTCTCCTCAGCCACGCGGCAAAGACAGCGGTTGACAAAATGGGGTCGCCCCTCCAAGAGCGGAACTTTTGAACCACGGGCCCAGGACAGACCACTGATGCAAGTGTGCTTTGATACAACCGAAAATATGTGATCATTACGTGATACATTTGATGTGGTTGAATGTGATAGATGGCATGAGAGAAGATGATCGGACATGTGGCGTATGAGAGGATCGAATAGAACATACCATGTAGACACGCCTTGGGATCCCCCAGAAGATGACATTAGGCTCCATCTTCGCCTCCCGCATCTCGCTGAGCAACGCCAAGGCCCGCTGCCACTGCTCGCCCTTCTCGCACGCGCTGACCCCAGCGCTGTAGCTGACTAGTGTGTACCCGTGCTTGCTGCCACTGGCGGAGATGGCCCAAAGCGGGCCCAAATGGGGTCGGAAACCTGCCCTTTCATGATAGGGCAGGGCCGAGACCCGCCAAAAGATAGTGGCCCTCGGAAGCCCTCTTACAGCCATCTTGGGCCATCTCGGCAATTCGCACCGCTCCGACCCCCGCCATCTTGGGCCGTCTTCGCTATTCTCACCGCTCTGAACGCTCCTAACCGCTGGGGCCCCCTCCCCTTGCCCCTTTCCGTAGCCGCGCCGTCGCCGTCGCCGTCGCCGTCTTCGTTGTCGTCGTCGTCGTCGTCGTCGTCGTCGTCGTCGTCGTCGTCGTCGTCGTCGTCGTCGTCGTCGTCGTCGTCACGATAAAAAAACACCACCGTGCCCTGTCAAGTGGCCCCCACAGGGATCTACAAGCACTTTTCCTTAGAAAAATGCTCCGCAGGCCTCTTTGGCGCTTAGAGCGGGCCTACAGTATGCGATAGTGGCCCTCGGAGGCCCTCTAAGAGCCATCTTGGGCCATCCTGGGGCTCTCTTGGGAGCCTCTTGGAGGATCCTGGTCAGGCTCTTTTGGGCCCTCTTGAGGCGCTCTGGGGCCGCTCTGGGGCCCTCCGGGGCCGTCTTGGGGGCACGGGCCCTCTTGGGTCCCTCGCGAGCCGTCCTGGGGCCCTGAGGGGCCGTTTTGGTCTCGACTGGGGCTCTCTGGGGGGCCTCTGGGGCAGTGTTGGGGCGGTCTTGGAAGCGTCCTCGACCGTCTTGGACGCCGTGCAGACCAGAAGAGCGAGTTCTCCCAAAATGTACGTTTTACAAAGGGAATTGGACGATTTTTGCGTCGTGAGGGCCCGCTCGGAGGTCTCTCGGGGCAGCTCGGGGGCGTCTTGGGCCGTCCTGAGGCCGTCTTGGGGGCGTCTGGAGCGGATCTTCGGCAGTCACGGAGCGTCCGCTGCACGATCGGAGCCGCTCCAGATCGGAGCCGCTCCAGAGGCTCAGAGGCGACCCCGACGGCCACCCCGAAGCGGTGGGGGGGGGCGGCTCGCTGCCACTGCGCTGGGCACCGCATGCGCGGACCCGGCTATTGGAGGAGAGATGACATTGGGCTCCATCTTCGCCTCCCGCATCTCGCTGAGTAGCGCCAAAGCCCGTTGCCACTGCCCGCTCTTCTCGCACGCGCTGATCCCAGAGTTGTGGCTGATGACATTGGGCTCGAGCTTCGCCTCCCGCATTTCGCTGAGCAGCGCCAAAGCCCTCTGCCATTGCTCGCCCTTCTGGCACGCGCTGATACCAGCGCTGTAGCTGATGACATCGGGCTTTAGCTTTGCCTCCCGCATCTCACTCAGCATAACCAAAGCCCGTTGCCACTGCTCGCCCTTCTCGCACGCGCTGACCCCAGCGTTGTAGCTGACTAGGGCTGACCCGTGGACTACGTCCACAACATCTACTCGAGGTGGCGAGCGGTGTCTGAGCAAGCGTGCTTGCACCCGCCTGGTGCCTTTTACATCCGCTTGCTGTTGCTTCATGCTGCTCGTTGCCACGTGCGGCCTTTCGCTTGGTCTTTCTTCTGCCGCCTGCGGCAACGGCTTGCTACGGACTGGTGCATGTGCTAGCTTTCGCCTGGTGGTGGTTGTTGCCGCCTGCCTGCTGGTGCTGCTTGTTGCAGGATGCTGCTTGGCACTGGTGATGTCAATGCGTGCTGCTGCTGCTGCAGCAGCAGCAGCAGCAGCTGCTCGCCGTTGCCTATGTTCCCTGCTGCTGGGTCCTCCTCCTCTTTACTCCTTCCCTCCACCCTTCTCCCCCGCGATCTTCCGTCCTCAATCGTCGCTTCTACGACGACGCTTCCAATAGCATAAGCATCCAAGGCCCCTGGGGGCTTCTGCTTGGCCTCTTGAGGGTCACTTGGGCTGGCCCGGCGCTGTCCCGGGCGCTCCTCAGACAGTCTTGGGGGCCGTCTGGGGCCCCTCGGGCCGCTCGTCGGGCCCTCTTAGGGTCCTCTCAGCTCCTCCTCATCCTCCTCCTCCTCCTCCTCCTCCTCCTCCTCCCCCTCCTCCTCCTGGAACCGTCCTGGGGCAGGCTCGGGTCGTCTTGGGGCCATCTTGGCAGCCTTCTGGGCCGTCTTGGGGCAAGGGCTGCAGAGTGTCGAGGGCTCACCCGTGGGCTCCGCCCACGGGAGCAAGAATGTCAGCGTGTGACTGCTGCCGCTTGTGGCGTTCGGTCGTCTGCTGCCGTTTCGTTGCCAGTGCGCGCGTGATTTGTTTAGCCTGCACCGTCTTGCCGTTTGCGTGATGCTTGCTTGACGTTTGCTTGCAAATCCTGCGGGTTGCTCCTGCTTGCCAGGGCCCTCGGAGAGTGGAAAACGATTCTTCCGGTCGTGCGATGAGCCTCTCGCCTTTCGTCCGCTGCCCGTGTCTTGAGAGCAGCTTTGGAGCCCCTTAAGGGGGCCTCCTGGAATTTTTTCGGGGGCCTCTTGGGGATCTTTTCGGCATCTTGGGGGCCTCTGGGGCCGCCTTGGGTGCCTCGTGGGCCGTCTTTTGGGGCTGTCTCGGGTGGCTCCCGGGCTGTCTTGGGCCGCTTTGGGCCGCCTTGGGCCGTTCTTCGGGCCCCCTGGGGGTCCTCTTGGGCCGTCTTGGACACCCTCCTGGGCCATCTTGTACCGTCCTGGGGCGTCTTGGGGCCCTCTAGAGGGCCTTCGGGGCCGTCTTCGGGCAAGGGTAGTAGGGCAGTCGTGGGCGTTGTGAAAACGAGAAACGCGAGAATACTGAACACTTACGTTTTCTGATAGTATTGGCACGATTTGTGCTTCGTGGGGCCCTCTTGGAAGCCTTCTTTGAGGCCTCTGGGGGCGTCTTGGGAGCCTCTTGGGCGGCCTTGGGGGCCTCCCGCGCGTCTGGACGCCGTCTTGGGTCTTGGGGCTGGCTGCGCTTAGGGACCCCCCCCTTGCGGACACCCTCTAGTGTGGAACACAAACCAGGCGGGCCACACCCTGCGAATCCTACTCGTACGTGTTTTGCGGCCGTCTCACATGAGTGACAAGGTGTGTGTGTGTGTGTGTGTGTGTGCGTGTGCGTGTGCGTGTGCGTGTGCGTGTGCGTGTGCGTGTGCGTGTGCGTGTGCGTGTGCGTGTGCGTGTGCGTGTGCGTGTGCGTGTGCGTGTGCGTGTGCGTGTGCGTGTGCGTGTGCGTGTGCGTGTGCGTGTGCGTGTGCGTGTGCGTGTGCGTGTGTGTGTGTGTGTGTGTGTGTGTGTGTGTGTGTGTGTGTGTGTGTGTGTGTGTGTGTGTGTGTGTGTGTGTGTGTGTGTGTGTGTGTGTGTGTTTTGGTGCTTTGGTGCCTCGGCGGCCTGGGGCGTCTGCACCTCGCCAGGCCCGTGCGCAGGGCCCTCGGGCGACGTCCGTCGCCTGCCGAGCCCGAGAGAGGGGCCGAGCCGCGGGCAGCGCCCCCGCGCGCTCCCCAGGGCGGGGACGCCGTGGCCCCCTCGAGGCCGCGCCCCACCCCAGGCCCCTCAGCCTGCCGCCAAGGGGGGCCGAAAAGCAGCGAGAAACGCGCCGCGCCCAGGCCACCCGCAACGCGGGAAGGTAGGCCCGAGCACCCCGAGCGGGGCGGCAGCCCCGCCCAGGCCCCTCAGCTCACGGATAACACCGCGCCAAGGGGGGCCGCACGCACTGAAACCAGACAGAACATTGAACGAGCACAACGGCCTCACCTCAGATCCCGTCCAGTTTTTGGGTCCTGGCCGCGCTGGATGCGGCGGATGCGCCTGAGGCGCTCCCTGTCGCCTGGGTCACGCGGGTCCAGCCTCCTGCACGGCCCGCCGAGGTTCCTGGCCACCGAGCTGTAGTAGGACCCGCGCACCACGCAGACCACGAAGTGGCCGATGATCTCGACCGTATGCGGCCTCGGCTCCGCCGAAGCTGCCCTGGCCGTCCCAGGCAGCGCCTGGCCACTCCTGGCGGGCTGGGCAGAGGCCGCCCGCCCGCGCGCAGCCTGCTCTGGCTCCGAGGCCGCCGCGGCCGCAGCCGAGGGCGGCGGGGGCCCCGCCAGCGGTGCCAATGCTCCCTGGCCCAAGCCCGCCGCCGCCGCCGAAGATGCTGAGGAACCAGTCCTAGGGGCCTTACCACCGTGTTTCAGGCTGCCCTGGCCAGCCCGAGCTTGGTGTGCCTCCAGGGGGGCGGAGCACGCTGCGGCCTTTGCCTGTGTGGCATCCTTGCCGTCCACGGCCAGGGCGCTGGCCAAATCGCCCTGATCAGCTCCAGGCTCACCATCAGGTTGACCCGCAGTCGACACCGTGGGAACTGCTGCCCCAGCGCCAGCCACAGCACCGCCGACCACTTCTTGGGAACTGGAGGCTGCCGCACTGCGGATCCGCAAAACACCCTCCCGCCTCACCCCACCCGCTGGAGCTCCCTCCTCCTGTGGCTGGAGTGCCCTGGGGGCGAGGTCGGGATTGGGCGACGACAAGCGCTCTGACGCCTGGGTGCCGAAGGCCGCCGTGCCGCCTGCCTCCACTACCTCGAGGTCGCTGTGCACGCTGAGGGCCGCGAACTCGTCGGCATCGTCGTACCCCATGGTGCCCTCGGCTGCGCGGCCTGCCGCATCACCTCCTTGGTCGTCCTCCGGGGAGAGGGGCTCGAAGACCCACTGGTGCCACGAGGCCGTCTCAGGCGGAGCACGATCTCCCAGAAGCTCCTTGAAACGCTCCCTGACCTGGTTCAGCACGTCGAAGTGATGCCGAAGCAGCCGACGTCGCTGTTTGGCTGTCAAACCCGAGTCAGGCCGTACTCTGGCGAACTGAGCCTGACGGGCTGGCTCGGCCCGCGTCCAAGAGGTAGCGCATAGATCGTCGACTACCTGCCCTAGAGTGCGGCCAGGGTTGCTACGTAAAAGACGCTCTCGAACTGGAGTCCACGTCGCCAGGCTGAGAAACCTCTCAAGGTATTCCGAACACCACGTGCGGTAGTCCCACTCGTTGGTGAAGCCTGCCACGTCGAAGCGATCGATCCAGAAAGACGCCCAGATGATGGCATCGTCTATGATGGAACGGACCTGCTGCTGCTCGAGCGTGATGTGTGGCTGGCTTGACGGGGTTCCCATGCACGCAGGGCCGTCGGGTATCCGCTCCATCCTGCCCAGAGCCTCACGGGCTGCTGCGACATGAGCCCACAGCGGGTCGGGGCCCAGCTGGGAGGCTGGCGCAGGGTCGGGCTCTACACGAGGCTCATCCTGATCTCCATGGTCTGCCCGTTGTCGGACAGGCCGAGCGGCGGCGCCTGCTGCAACGAGAAGAGGCACTGCCACCCTGCCTCTCTTGACCGCACTCTTGACTAACTTGCCCTGGAGCCCTTGGAGACGACCACGGCACTCCTGCAACTGAAAGGCCGCAAGGCGAGTGCGGGCAATCTTGCCGCAGCTGGTGCACTTGGAATAACCGCGGCACACTTCCAGAACGTGCGGGTGCCTGGGACCAGCGTGAGGCCGCGCTGCCTGCGGAGTGTGGACCTCTTGGCCCTGCTGTCGTTTGGGCCTCGGCTCCGCCAACTTGACCCCGTCGAGGAGGACCCTGAAGTGCCCGATGTACTCGAGCACGCGCTTGGTGGCCTTGAGCTCCTGCTTGACCTGCAACGTGGCCCACTCTGGCGGCGCGCTGAGGTCTGCCCCTTGCTTGGCCCATTCGTCTGCTAAATCATTGTGCTTCATATGAATCTGGACCTCCTCTGGCAGCTCTAGACGTTTGGCCTGCGATATGTGCGATGTGACTTTGATGACAGACAGCTCTCTGCCAGGAAGGATGTCCATGTCGTCCAGGCGGTCCCAGATCTCAAGCCAGACGTGCGCATAGGGCCTGGCCGAGGAGCAACACCATGCCCTGCCACGTGCCAAGCCTCGGACCACCTGGGCATTGTCAATGATGATGGCCGTGATGAAGACCGCATGCCTGAGGGCGTGGAGGAGACCCCACAACTCTGCCAGGACCGAGCTGGGGTCAGGAAAGGGCAGTGGGCCGTACAGGCCCTGCACCACATCCTCGGCCTCCGCTGTGCACTGCAAAGCCGCCCAGCCGCCGTGCCTGAGGTCATCCAAGCCCTTGACTGATCCGTCCGACACCAGCACACCCGTGAGCTCGGGGGCCGCGCCATTGACGATCCAATAGGTGCGCTGCGACGGTAGACTCCAAGCCAAGCCGTAACATGGGGTCCGCCGCAGACCCCGTTCCCATAGCCACCTTGAGGCTTCCGACGAGGAGGCCGACACGCCCAGGTGGACGACGTCTCTGAAGGTAGGTGATGCGTCGTGGGCTGTCAGCTGCTCCCTTACTGTAGCACACGTCGGGCTGCCGCACCGCCAGTAATAGTGCTGGTGCGTGCCGAAACAGGTCGTGTCGTCGCACAACTGGCAATACGGAGTGTCCGCCTGGCCCGACAAGAAAAGGGCCTCCTGCGAAGGGAAACCTCCCAGCACCGCCTTCTTGACCGCGTCGGCATGGTGCTGCAGCCACCCGTCCTGCTTGCGTCGCTTGACCAACTGCCTCGCTGGGGTGAGCCACGGCGCTGGCAGGAGCGCAGCCCGCTCGGGCTGGGCCGCCGCCCACTGGCACAAAGCTCGGGAACGGGCGGCCAGCAGCACGGCGGCCTCAACGGACTTGGGGCAGATCTGCAGTAGATCCAGATGTACGTCCCCTCCTTGGAGCACTCCGCCACGTGGAGGCAAGACAACCTCAAAGGCTGATGGCATGCACCACCCATGGGCTCTCACTGTGACCGAGGTGGCCCCCGCTGGGCCGCGCACCAGTGACCACAACTCCTGCGCGTCGGCGTCGCTGTACATCGCGAGCTGTTGCTGCACTCGGGCCCATGCCGTGGCCTGCGCCCGTCGCCCCTCTGGGTGGTCCCAAGCTTCCCTGGCCCAGGCCAGCAGCGGCGCCAGGACGAGGGTGTCGGCACAACTGGTGTCGAGGCCGTCGTGCAAGACTCGGGAGGTAAAGGCTGTGGCGCCTCTGCGGACGGCCCGATCCTTCTGTTGGATGAAACGCACGATGGGCCTGGGCGTGCCACGGACACGGGCACCGTAGGCGACCGAGGCTCCGAGGCCCTGCCGCACGACCATCTTGAGCTTGCCCCCGCGTGCACGAGGAAGGCCGCGTATCTTGGCCAGCGCTGCTTGGCTACCTTGAGCCTCGCGTGTCTGACTGGGGCTGACTGGTTCTCTGCCTTGACGCTGGGACCGTAGTCGATACCGAGCCACCGCTCCGAGGTGCTGGGTGGCACTCCCAGGACGGCCATGGCCTGCGTCAAGCCTGAAGACGGAGTGGCCGTTTGCAGGAAGGAGCACTTGCCTTTCGCCCCGTCCCGCGCTCGGGCTACCTCCAGGCCCAGGAAGGACTCCAGCATCCAGAACAGCAAGCGCGTGGCCTGCGGCAAAATGTGCAAGACGCGCGCCTCGGTGGACATGACCCGCAGGGCGATGTCATCAACGTACAGGTAGATCGTGAGGCGGAAGACCCCCAGCAGGTCGTCTAAGCACAGCATGAGGTAGAACCTCAGGAAAGTGGGCGCGAAACGGCTGCCCGCTGGGAGCGCTGTGGAGGACAAGACCTCCGCGGAGCAGGCCTCCCCAAGACGAATGACACGGCCAAAGGCGAAACTCTCCAGCGCGAGCGCGACCACCTCCAGCGGGCCGTCCCACCAAGCTGCAAGCCACCACATACGCTCATGGGAAACCTTCTCATAACACTTGGCGAGGTCCGCCAGCATCGTAGCCGCACGTATGCCTGTGCCCAACACGAGCTCATCGTCCAACAAAGCTTTCCACAGGGCCCGCTCGGAGGATTGGCCCGCCGCCGTGTAGTCGTAGCTCCTGGGGTGTGCCGCCAACCAACTCCTGATGGTGGGCATCTGCCACGCTTCCCAGATTCGGCAAGGACCAGGTAGTAGAATGATGGGTCGGCCCCCTCCATCGAGCTTCCCGATGATGAACACGAGCAGGAGGTGGACCTGAGTCGGCCACCGCCCCAGTTGTTGGCACCAAGCCAACAATGACGCGAGCACCGAGAGCGTGCCGTCCGTGAGGTACGCCCAAAGCTTTGGTTGCCACCCGTCCACGCCAATCCCCGTCTTGGCCTTGAAACGCTGGGCCAAGCCACGCAGGTGGTGAGGGCTGGGCGGCGTGACAGCGACTTGCTGGAGGCCCCTCCATGGCTTGGGGAAACCTGAGCCAGTGACCCAGACCTTCGACCAGTCGTGCAACTCCTGGTCCACGGCGGCCTGAGGCTCCGCTGGGAGCAGCTTCTTGGATATGCTGCCCTTGGGGGCCTGCCAAGCCTGGCGCCACTTGGTGACCCTGTGGAGGAGCCCCTGCGAGCCTGGGAAGTCGTCCTCCAACCGCTGCTTGAAGGAATCTCGTCGTTCCTTGCCGATCTGCCACTCTAAGTACGAGGCATGTGTGTTGTGTGTGTGTGTGTGTGTGTGTGTGTGTGTGTGTGTGTGTGTGTGTGTGTGTGTGTGTGTGTGTGTGTGTGTGTGTGTGTGTGTGTGTGTGTGTGTGTGTGTGTGTGTGTGTGCGTGTGCGTGTGCGTGTGCGTGTGCGTGTGCGCGTGCGCGTGCGCGTGCGCGTGCGTGCGTGTGCGCGTGCGCGTGCGCGTGCGCGTGCGCACGTGTGTGTGTGTGTGTGTGTGGTGTGTGTGTGTGTGTGTGTGTGTGTGTGTGTGTGTGTGTGTGTGTGTGTGTGTGTGTGTGTGTGTGTGTGTGTGTGTGTGTGTGTGGGTGTGTGGTGTGGGGGGTGGGTGGGTGGGTGGGTGGGTGGGGGGGTGGGTGGGTGGGTGGGTGGGTGGGTGGGTGTGGGGGGGTCTGTGCGTGTGTCTGTGTCTGTGTCTGTGTCTGTGTCTGTGTCTGTGTCTGAGTCTGTGTCTGTGTCTGTGTGCGTGCGTGTGTTCTTGTGTGTGTTCTATCGCTGGTGCAGCCAACTCTGCCTCGCCGCCGACGGAAAACAAGTGTGTGTGTGGACGTGTGTCTCATGTGGTTGCCGTATATGTGTTGCGCTGCGTCTGGTGCATGATGCAATGAACTCGCCAGGTGTACACTAGCGTTATATGGTGTGTGTGCGGTTGCAAGTGTGTGTAAATGTATACATATATCTATGCATAGATGACGCGTGTGCGCGTGTGATGTGCACGTGTGCGTGTCTGATGTTCACCTAACACCCATGCTGCCGCGCCCTGCAACAGAGAGGAGGTGAGAAGGTGAGACGCGGGTGGGACGCGGGTGGGAAGAAAACAGTGACCCCACTGAGCGTGTGGGAGAAAACGCCCGGCCGTTTTGAGGGACAACGCAGGCGTTGGGGCGATCTCGGGGGCCTCTTGGGCCGCGTCGGGCGACCTGAGGCCCGAAACAGCCAGCACAGTCGGACTCGATTGCAGAGGACACGCGAGAGGACACAAGACCCTGCCGGGGGCCACGCTGAGCCAGGAACGCAGAGGAGACGTGGAGCGCGAAACGCCAGACAAAGGGAACCCTTGATCTGGAAGGACGAACACATGAAACTTGACTGTAGTCGAACACCCGCGCAACAAAACAATTGGAACGTCACACGTTTTCGCGCCGGGAGGCCGGGCCCGCTTGCGGGCCCTCTCGGAGCCTTGCCTGTGGCGTCTTCGGTGCCTCGGGGGCCATCTTGGAGGCCGCGGTGGGCCGTCTTCGCCACCCTCTTGCGCGGTCCTGACGGCATCTGGCGATCTGGTGACATCTGGGCGCTCACTCACTTAGAAGCCGTGGGGCTCTTGGGGAGCTTCTGGGTGGCCACCGGGGTGGCGAGATAAAGCCTTCGGGGCCTGGGCCTTTCTCGCACGTGCATGTTCCTGCAGCGTAGGGGGAGGTCACATTGGGCTCGAGTTTCGCCTCCCGCATCTCGCTGAGCAGCGCCAAAGCCCACCGCCACTGGTCGCCCTTCTCGCACGCGCTTATCCCAGCGCTGTAGCTGAATAAGGCGAACCCGTCCACGAAATCTGTCCGAAACGGCCTGTGATGTGATGGCGGAAACGCTAACCGAAAGTCGGTCGGATGAACGTCGGACCGAGGCCCTGGCAACGAGAAGGGAGACACGAGCAATGAGTGGCCCGGAAGCAGCGAGGAGTGGGGAGTGATGAGGGATTGGCCAGCGCTCGGACGTCCATTCCCCGGGCCTTTTCCGGCCTCGTGCGCGTATGTTCTCGAGCATGAGCCAAGATGCTCCTCGATGGCCCTCGCCGAGGGCAAAAATGATCCAATATGCTCCTCGATGCTCCAAATGATCCAAGATGCTCCTCGAAAATGATCCAAGATGCTCCTCGAACTCTCGAAAATGATCCAAGATGCTCCCTCGAGGGCCCTCGCCGAGGGGACCGAGGCACGCGTCCGAGCGATGCCAAAAGGGCAGGAAGTGGCCGCCACGGGGCTCCAGGGGGGGGGGGGCGCTCGGGAAGCCCTCGACGGGCGGGGCTCCACCGCGTGGGGCTGGCACGAGGGACGCATGCGAGGAGGGAGGAGGAGGAGGAGGAGGAGGAGGAGGAGGAGGAGGAGGAGGAGGAGGAGGAGGAGGAGGAGGAGGAGGAGGAGGATGAGGAGGAGGAGGAGGAGAGGAGGAGGAGGAGGAGGAGGGAGGAGGGAGGAACCTCCTCCTGCGAGGAGAGCCAGGAGCGACGAGACAGAGAGAGGCGCGAGGAGCGACGGGTCTGGACACAGATCGCCAGGGAGCCCTGGGGGAGCAGCAGGGGGGTGGGTATATATATATATCGCCTGCCTGCCGGTCTGCCCGCCTGCTGCCCTGCTGTCGTGGTGGCCGGACTGGTGAAGCGATCGCCTTTCTTGGGGAACGAACAATGACATGAACATCAAAACTCGGAGGTCCGCGCGGATTTCTCGGATCGGCGCTGGGGCCCCCTGGCGGCGCCTCCGGCGCCATCCCTGGCGCGCTCCGCGCGCCACGGAGGGGGGTCGAGCGCCGATCCGAAGAATCCGCGCGGACCTCCGAGTTTTTATGTTCATGTCACTGCTCCTTCACCTAACATACCCTGCTGCCCCCGAGGGCTCAGACGGGATTCCGAAGAGACTCGCGGGAGGGCCCTCGGGCAGGCCAACCGATCCGCGAGAGGCGTCCACGATGGCCCCACCTGCTTCCCAGGCGTGCCGTCTCGGGGTCCAGCCGGTGGCGGAAGTGGCCAAGGGGTATGGGCCGAAGAGACCCGAAGCGGACCGTCTCGCGGAGCCTCGTGGGCCGTCTCGGGGCTCTCCGCCCCGGCCCCGTGGGCCGTCCTGGACTGGCGGCAGCCTGCGAGGGCGAGGCTGGCAGCACTGCTCTCAGACAGCTTCGCAACATCAGCGATACGCTGCCTCCTGGAGGCCTCCGACGGCGTCTTGGGAGCCTCCTGCGCCCTCTCGGGGGCCTCTTGGGGCCATTTCGGGCCCTGTAAGCTACCTTGCGCCTGGTGGACCACCTTGGTGGCATCTGGTGGCATCTTGGCGCTCTCTTCGAGTTTACGGGGCGTTGAATAGTTTCTAAGGCCGCCAGGGGGGGTGCGAAGCCCCACTTGATACAGCACCCCTCCTGCACGCGCGGGGACCTAACATGTAGGAAAGATGACGTTGGGCTCGAGCTTCGCTTCCCACATCTCGCTCAGTAGCACCAGAGCCCGCTGCCACTGTTCGCCCTTCTCGCACGCGCTGATCCCAGCGCTGTAGATGATCGCGTCGGGTTCCAACTTCGCCTCCCACATCTCGCTGAGAAGTACCAGAGCCCGCTGCCACTGTTCGCCCTTCTCGCACGCGCTAATCCCAGCGCTGTAGCTGACTAGGGCTGACCCGTGGACTCCGTCCACGACATCTTTCTGGAATGGTTCTCGGAGGAACGGCGCAGATTGTACCGAAAATCTACAAACACGGCGGCGGCTCGGGCGGCGGCAGCGAGACCGCGCCTTCGTGTCCGAGCTCTTGCAGCGCTCCAGCAGCTTGGCCCAGCGCACTGCTCGTTCACCCCCCTCCTATTGAGGACAGTTTCGAAGTCTCTCGGGGATGTGCGTCGAAGTCGAAGCCCATCTGAGGCGTCTCAGGAGCGCTCGGGGAAGGGCTCGGGAGGCCATCGGGGAAAGCCACCGAAAGCGCCGGGGAGGCTCGCAAGGATCTACAGGGAGGGCCCAAGAGAGCTTCAAGAAAATTCGAAATTCTGTAAAATCTTTAGAGAAACCGCTGTTGGGTCGGCCATCACCTCCGGGCGCGCCTTGATGGTGCGATCCAGTCGCATCACCGCCAACGGGAGGGTTTGTTCGCCATGTCCCATTCTGTTCGCCCAGAGGGTCTGTGGAGGCCTTCGGGCGAACAGAACGGGACAGGGCAAGGAATGGGGAAGACTTGTCCGAATCTCCTGGGCCCCCCAGGTGCTCGTCCGAAGAATGCGGAGAGGTCCCAGGGTCATATCAATTGGCTGCTGTCCCAGGGGTCCGGTCTGCTTGGCCCGAAGAGTTTGCCAAGGCCCCTGGGGGAACAGAATGGCACAGCATATCGGGCAAAGGGGGGCGGTAGCTGGCCTGTCAGACCCGGCGTTCGTCTTCTGCCCAAGCGGCGCGGGGCCCACGGGCCCCAGGGTTGGCGGCCCGCTGGGTTTCCTCTTGTTCGCCCACAGGGTTGGAGGAGGCCTCCAGGCGAACAGAATGGGGCAGGACAATGAATGTGGGAGACTTGTCGCAAGCTCCCAGCCCCCCCAAGTGTGCGCCCGAAGGGTGTGGGGCCGCGTTGGCTCCCTCAAAGGGCCGTCTTGGAGCCGTCCAGGCCCGTCTTGAGGGCGCCGTTTGCCGTGATGGGGCCGTCTTGGTTCGTCGTGGGCCCCTCATGGGCGCGTCCGTAGGCCGTCCTGGGCCCATCGGGGGTCCTCGTGGGGCTGTCTTGGAGCCGTCTGGGACCGTGAGGGGGCCGCCTTGGAGTCGTCTTGGGCCCCTCCTGTGCGCCTCCTTGGGCCGTCCTGGGCCCAGCAGGGGCCGTGTTGGCACCCTCTTGGGGCTGTCTTGGAGCCGTCTTGAGCCGTCGCAGCGCGCCTTGGGTTGTGCTGGGTCCGTCTTGGCCCGTCTTGGGGCCTTCCTGGGCGTTTCCTCTGACCTCCTGGGACTTTCTGGGGCCTCTTGGTGCACCGGACCGCCGAAACGGCGGGAAACGCAAAGGGTGTCACAGTAAACAATGGAAAATTAACGAATTTTGCCAGCTGGGGCTCTCTTGCCATCTTGGCCCGTCTTGAGGCCCCGACCGGGCGCGTCCTTGGGCCGTCCTGGGCGCACCCTCCTGGGACCGTCTTGGAATCGTCTTGGGCCGTCTTGAGCGCGCCTTGGGCCGTCCTGGGCCCGTCTGGGGCCGTGTTGGCACCCTCGCGGCGAGGAAGCTCGGAGGCGGGCTCGAGGCCTCTTTGGGGCCATTTTGGAAGCTGTTGGGGCCTCTGTTGGGGCCTCGTTTTGGGTTCCTTGGGAGCTTCCTGGGGCCTCTTCGGGGGATTCTTGGCGGCCCCTTGGGGCCTCTTGGGGGCCTGTTTGGACCTCCTGGCGCCCTCTTGGGGCGGAAGGCTCGGAGTTTCGGTCCGTGGTCCTTCTCTTGTTCCCCTCTTGGGCCTGTCTTCGGGCCCTCGTGGGCCGTCTTGAGCGTCTCTTGGGTCGTCTTGGGGCCCTCTTGGGCTGTCTTGGGGCGCTCTTAGAAACCTCTTGGGCCGTTCTGGGGCGCTCTTGGAGGCCTCTTGGCCCGTCTTCGAGCGTCGGAAAGCGGAAAAAGCGAGAAGGCCAAAATCCTTCCAAAACCGTCGTAAAGCGGATGATGTTGAGGCCCAAAACCGTCCAAAACCTTCTGAGGCGGTCCCCTCGTCCGCCCCCCTCGCTTCGAAGCAGTTTTTAAGCCCCGTGGCACCTCTTGGGGACCTCTTTTGGGCTCCTGGGGGCCTCTTGGGCCTCTCTGGGCTCGTCTATCGCGCCCCTTGGGCTGTCTTGGGGCCCCCTAGGGCCTTCTTGGGCGGTCCTCGGGCCGTCTTGGAGCCATCTTGGGCCGCTCTTCGGGCCATCTTGGGGTCCCGTTGGCCTGTCTTGGGCGCCTCTGGGGCCGTCCGGGGGCCGCCTTGGACCGTCTTGGGGCCCTCTTGGACCGTCTTGGGGTCCTCTTGGGGACCTCTTCGACCGTCTTGGAGCGGTCTTGGATGCCTCTGGGGGGGTTCGGAGCGTCGGGAAGCCGAAAAAGCGAGGAAGCAAAAAACCCCGGGAAAACTAATGAAAATCAACGATTTTGGCCTCTCGGGCCTCTCCTGGGATGCCTCTTGGGAGGCCTATTGGGCCGTCTTGGCGAGCTCTTGGGCGGTTCCTCGGGCCGTCTTGGAGCCATCTTGGGCCGCTCTTCGGGCCATCTTGGGGTCCCGTTGGCCTGTCTTGGGCGCCTCTGGGGCCGTCCGGGGGCCGCCTTGGACCGTCTTGGGGCCCTCTTGGACCGTCTTGGGGTCCTCTTGGGGACCTCGTCGACCGTCTTGGAGCGGTCTTGGATGCCTCTGGGAGGGTTTCGGAGCGTCGGGAAGCCGAAAAAGCGAGGAAGCAAAAAACCTCGGGGAAACGAATGAAAATCAACGATTTTGGCCTCTCGGGCCTCTCCTGGGATGCCTCTTGGGAGGCCTATTGGGCCGTCTTGGCGAGCTTTGGGCGGTTCCTCGGGCCGTCTTGGAGCCATCTTGGGCCGCTCTTCGGGCCATCTTGGGGTCCCGGTGGCCAGTCTTGGGCGCCTCTGGGGCCGTCCTGGGGCCGCCTTGGACCGTCTTGGGGCCCTCTTGGACCGTCTTGGGGTCCTCTTGGGGACCTCTTCGACCGTCTTGGAGCGGTCTTGGATGCCTCTGGGGGGGGTTCGGAGCGTCGGGAAGCCGAAAAAGCGAGGAAGCAAAAAACCTCGGGAAAACCAATGAAAATCAACGATTTTGGCCTCTCGGGCCTCTCCTGGGATGCCTCTTGGGAGGCCTATTGGGCTGTCTTGGGGAGCTCTTGGGCCGTCTTGGGCCAATCTTGGGCGTCTTGGCCAGATCATTGCGCGTCTCGGGGCCCTCTTGGGCCGCCTTCGGGGCATCTTGAGCGGCTCGGAGCCGTCTTTGGGCCGTCGGGGCGGCCTCCGGAGCGTCTCGGAGCCGTTTCTAGTCATTTGGCTGGATTTCCTTCCGGCACGCGCTTCCTCCGGCCATATAGTATAGACAAGGGCTGGCCCGTGGACTCACGCCCACGACAGCTTAGTCGCATGCAAAGGTTAGGATCGCATGTCTGCTTGCCTGCTTTCGTGCTGCCCTGCGCGCATGGCTGCTAGCAGTGATAAGGAACTAGGGCGGACCAGTGGACATCCTCCCACTCAAGGTTACTCGCATGCAGGGGTGGAGCCCTCCTGTCTGCTCGGTTGCTCGCTTACAGTCCTGGACGCGTGGCTTGACCTGCGGGCCCTGGAGGGTCGTGTGGCTACCGCGACTGCCTTTCCGACAAACGCACTCGCGCGGAGGGGCGTGGAATTCGGGCGCAGTATCTCGAAGAGCAAGCCCGCGAAGAAAGAGCAAGGCACGACGGGCACAGCGCGGCATGGGCCTGCTGATGCGCGCCGTCGCATGCTGCGTCTGCTTTTGCACGCTGCGTGCTGTTTTGGTACCTCCTGCCGCTCGGTGGCGGTCGCTGCTGCGGGCTGCCGCTCGCTGCTGCGCATCGCTGCAGCCCTGGGGGTGGAACGAACCGAGATATCTGGGGCCCTCTTGTCGGGTGTTGCTAGAAGTGCCCCTGGCCCAAGGTGCCCCCGACTTTTCGCTCCATTTTGGAGTCCCTCGGGTCCTATGGGCCTCGTGAGGGGTGCCCTGGAGGCCGCCTGGGCCACCCCGAGAATCCTGGGGGTACCTTGGGCCAGGGGTACTTCTAGCAACACCCGATCTTGCATGCCGGCCCAGGCCATCTTGGGCTATATGGGAGGGGTCTCGGGCCCTCTTGGACGCCGTCGTGGGCCTCTGGGGCGCTCGTGGAGTCTCTGGGGCCCTGCTCAGAGCCAGGTGCCCTGTGAATCTGGACAGCTTGGAGTGTCGAACATGTGCGAAGACCTCAGGAGATTGGATGAGCTTCTCCTCTCGGGGGCCCTACACGGAGCCATCTGGCGACCTCTTGGGGTCACCCTGGCGCCATCTGGGAGCATCCCTGAGGCCGTCTTGGGGGCTTGGCGGTGGTGGGCGTCCCTTGGAGGCTCTCTTGGGCCGCATGGGTCGCTCAGATGCCTCCGCTGGGTCCCTCAGATGCCTCCACGGGCGCGTCGGGGCCGACTGGGCCGATCTTTAAGCAGTTGAGTCTGACGCTCTCCTGGAACGCACTGCGCCTGGCACTGTAGGAGAGATGACGGTGGGCTCCAACTTGTGTTCCCGTGAGGATCTGAGCAAAGACAAGCTGCGCTGCCACAGGCAACATTTCACGCATGCGTTGATGGCAGCGTTGCCCGGCGACCCCCGCTTGACGTGGGTGAGAAGTCGTGTGAGTGAGACGTTTAGCTGTCCCCACGGGGGGGAATAGAGGCCTCCTAGATGGGGCTCGAGTGGATGGGGTCGGAGGATCGCGCCGCATCGCCGATACATCGGCGATGCATCGGCGATGTATCGGCGATGCATCGGCGATGCACCAGCGATGCATCGTCGACGTGGGCGATGCATCGGCGACGCCGACGTGAAGCAAATCGGGTTCCACATCGAGCCGCATCGGCGATGCATCGGCGATGCGGCGCGATCCTCCGACCCCATCTACTCCGCCCCCATCTAGGAAGCCTAGAAAAGAAGGGGGGCGAACTCCTCAACGCACCCTCCGGGCCAGAGACGCCCCCCACCGGGGAGGCGGGGGCCAGGTCCACCCCCCGACGCCTCGAAGTTGCTCCAGCTGCCATCCAAGATGGCTCCAGAAGAGCTCTGACACGCCCAAGAGGTATCAAGAAGATCTCAAGAGGTCCCAAAACACTTCAAGAATGGTCGAAAGAGGTCCCCAGAAAGAGAGAAAGAGAGAGAGAGAGAGAGACAGAGACAGAGAGCGAGCCCATACGCCCAAAGCCACAAAAATCCACAGCACGTGTGAGCATAATCTGCCATCTCGCCTTATCGGGCCCAGACGCCTCTGAGAGGACACTCAAACAACCCAAGATGCACCCAAGCACGGCCCCAAAATGGCCCCAGAAGCGCCCGGCTGGCCTCCAAGACGGCCCGGGATGGGTCGAAGACGGCCCAAGACTGACCCCAGACGGCCCGAAGGCCCTCCTCCCCACACGGCCCAAACACACTCCAAAACGACCCCAAACCCCGACAAGGGACGCCAAAATGGCCCCGAAAGGTCTCAAGAGAGCCCCGGAGGTCCCCCAAAACTTCCCTCCAGGGTCCCGCGAGGGTCTCTAGACAGGCCCAACAATGTTCGGTCCCGCACGGGACCAGCGTGTCCAGACTAAACACCCAACACTCACTCATTGACAGATTTCCGCGCTGCTAGCTGCCCCCCGTGATTACAGCTTTGCGGGCTCACTAGTTGCTCTCTCCTGCCGCTGGAAGCATCGGCATGGAATACGTGCTAAGGCTGGCCACTCGAGGCTCATACTTTCACCGCCCCTCGCCCCTCCTCCTGCTCCTCATCTGCCCATCTTCCCCCTTCGCCTCCTCTTGTGCCCCTGGGGCAGGGCCCAAGACGCCACAGCATGCCCGAGCGTAGTGCTCTAAGGGCCCCAACAGAGGTCCCGTAACTGAGAAAATGTCCGCAAGGAATTCCCGGCATCCTGTCCACTCCCACTTGCCTCCCCACCCGCCTGGGTATCGCTCTTCGTCGTCCTCCTGCGCTCTACCGAACTCGGCCTACCTGTGGGGGCTCACGGAATGGCGTAGGCCTCTTGCATAACTGACGATACTTGGCTCCAGGTTCGCATGTCTCGCTTCACTGAGTAGCGATAATGCCTGCTGCCACTGATTGCCTTTCCCGCACGCGCTGATTAAAGCATTGCAGCTGAGGATATCAACTCGCGTGCCTGACCGTACCGAATCTCGAAAGAGTTTCAAGGCCGCGAGCCACTGTTTTGAATCCCCACTTTTTTTGATAGCCACTACGAGACAAGCATCCGTCAAAGATTGTCTTCCTTGCCACCTTACACTTCCAGAGGTGCGCGCCGTAGCATGACCTGTCTCTGGAAGCACCAAGCGTGATTGTGGTGGCCCTTGGGCAACAAGAACCATGCATGAGCTAGCCTTCAGCCGAAAGGCAGTTGAATAAAGCATGCGGATAGTACTTCGCATTATGACCACCGATGCAGACTTAGCATGCGTCATTCGAAAACATAAAAAACTGGATCCTTCCGAATGCGGCTGGAATGGCCGCGCGAATCGACACCGTCCTCACTAAGGACTTAGACTGACTAGCCCAACTCAGAACGGCTGGGTGAATCCAACAGGTCTCACAGCAAACCATGCCATATGCGTGAGAGAATCACCACGCCACTGCTTCGACAAGGATTTACCTGTTAACGAATGTCGAAACCGATAATACATGATCACTGTGATGCAATGCGGTTCCGACGCGCCCCTGGCAAAGACTTCTGCCCGACTGCGACAGCCCTTCATGTGTTGATATTTTTTGGGTATTTCGTGGGTATTTTTCATTTTTCGTCCAAAATCCCCCTGTAGGGGAACATGCCGACCTAAATCTTGACCCCGTCTGGCCAGCTCCACGCCCTGACCGACTGACAAGCTCGGTCGCCCTGACCGACTGAGAAGCTCGGTCGCAATATCAAGCGACATCGGCGATGGATCTCAGACGTCAACATCGGCTCGCATGGCCCGGCAGCGGCTCGAGAAGCACGGCGCAGGCGGCACTTACAAGACGTATCGGGCGAACCTAGGGGGAGGGATGCCAGCGCTGCAGCCGGTGGCGCAATCCGCCGACTTTGCCTCCCGCCTCTCGCTCGGAAGCGCCGGAGCCCGTTGCCACTGCTCGCCCTTCTCACAAGCGCTAGTCCCAGCGTGGAAGCTGACTAGGGCTGACTAGTTGAACCGTTCACGAAAGGTCAAAAGGAAAGCGAAACAAGGCCTGCCTGTCCTCAACGGGCAAGATTGAAGGGGCCCTGGGACACACAAGTAAATACACACAAGCAACAGGATTCCCCATATTTTCCCATATTTTCTGGGTTTTTGTCTTCCCCCCCACTTCCCATATGTTCCCATGCTTTCTGGGGAATCGATGATTAATTGTGTCTGTGTTTTGCTGCTTGAGGCCTGGTGCTACAAACGCGGCCTATGGAGGGCTCACAGGTCGAACGTGAAGCCGTAGAGGATGGACAAAACACGTCGTTTGTTCGTCGGTGGCGAGTCAGAGGCAGTCCGCTCCAGCGTGTGGCCAGTCGAGGCAACCGAAGGGCCAAGTGTCCGGCGTGCAAGAGGGAGGACACATGTGACACAAGACGAGGGCGGCCGCGCGGGGGGACGATAGAAGAAAGCACTCTTCTAGGGGTCCACGTGCGAACCCTACCCCTACCCCCATGATTTCTGAGGGGGAGGGTGGGGTAGGGTTCGCATGTGGCCCCCTGTCTCCAGAATGAGAGCACCCCCTCGTCCACGAAAACTCCTCGAGTGGGCACGGGATGGCGGACGAGTCGCCGAGAAGCCTGCGGACGGCGCGGCGCCAGGAGCCGAGGGAAGGGGCCGCGCGCGAAGCCGGAGCGCAGGCGCGCTCGCGGGACTGCCCTGGATGCCTCTTGGCCCGCTTGGGGCTGCGGGGAGCCCGGCATCTGGACCCTCTCGGGGCGCTCTTCGGGGCTTCCGTGCTGCGGGTCACAGATATCGATTGTGCACACATCAGGCGCGCCTGTTGGTCGATTCCAGAGCTCGGAACTCGGTTTGCTGCTCGAACTAGGTCCGCGAAACTATTCTATTATTCGAGTCTACTGTCGGGGTTCTGTATTTGGGCCTCTCGGGTGCCTCTGGGGGTTAGGCTCTGTCTCCCCAATTAGAGCTTTGCGTAGCCCGCCTAGCTTTTATAACCGGAAGAGGTTCGCTCTCGACTGGCAGAAAAAAAAGTGCGTCGTGGAGCCCGCTTCGGGCAATCGTGGGGCTGTCTCGGGAGCCACCTGGGGCTCCGTTGGGTCGTCCCTTGGGCCGTCCGAGGGACCTCTGGGGCCGTCTTCGGGATCTCTTCGGGGCGGCCCCTTGGGCAACCTTAGGACGATCTGGGAGGCCGCCAGTGCCGTCTTGAGCACTCAGGGAAGATGAATGATCTTGGCCTCATCGGGCCGTCATCCAGGTCATCCTAGGCCGTCTTGGGAGCCTCCTGGTTTGTCTTCGGGCTCTGTTGGCCCGTCTAGGGCCCCCGTTCGGGTCCTCTTGGGCAATCCTGGCGACCTCATGGACTCTCGGAACCGTCCGGGGCCGCCTCAAGCCGTCTCGGAGCCATCTGAAGAGGATCTGGAGCCGTGATGGACCACCACAAGGTTGTTTTAGGGCGCCCTAGGAGGTCCAAGGCCCACTGGGACACAAGCCCTTCTCGCACGCAGGGGCCGCTGCAATTGAATTGCAGACTGTCGATTTCCAAATCAATGTTCCATGGGATCGTTCGACGCGGAATTACTGCCCACCCCGCCGTCGTCATCTCATTTGAAAGAGCGCTCTCTGCCGCTACTGGCAAGCCCCCCCCCCCGATTCGAATCGAGGGGGAGGGGGGGTAGGGTAAAACAGCCTCTCTGTCCGAACGGGGGGGGAAGAGAACCACCACCACCACCACCACCACCACCACCACCACCACCACCACCACCACCACCATCACCCCCTGTTTGAACCGTGGGGGGGGTGAGATCCCCCCCCGTACGGGTTTTAATCAAGTGCCCTGGAACATGCAATGTCCAAGCTAAGTTACTAAAGCCATGCAATTTCACCGGACATGTTATGTTCTAGAGCCTTCGAAAAGACTGCCTTTTAGTGGCGGCCTTAGAAGCGAATCTCTTTTGTGGCAACCTTACAAAAGAATTGTCTTTGCGACGGCCTTACAAAAATCCCCCCTGGTAGCGGCTTTACATGGGGATGTTTTTTTTGTGGCGGCGTTACACAAAAATGTGTTTCGTGATGGCCTTACAGACGGGTTTCAATGTGTGACGGTCTTGCAAAACGGATTCCTGTTGCGGCGGCCTTACAACAAATATCTCCTTCTGTGAGTTACGCAGGGAGAGCCAAAGGAATCATTGTAAACACTTAAAACGAAGAGAATGCAATAAACTCGTAACAACTATAGTGCTTTCGATAAGTTGGAAGCCAAGGGCTTTTTTCTTGAAGACACCGCGTTTTCCTGCCATCGGAGCTCCCAAACGCTGTAGAACACAGCGTTTTCAGCAACCGGAGCTCCCAAACGCTGTAAAACATATTTCTCAGCCATCGGAGCTCCGAAGCGCTGCAGAACAAACAAATTCAAGGATTTCTACATGCGGCGGCCTTGCGAAACAAATCCCTGTGACGACCCTACAACACATTTTCTGTGTGGCAGCCTTGCGAGAGGATTCCTTGTGTGGCTTCCCCACACGAGGAACCCATGAGGAGACCAAGGAACCATGAACAACTTGTGGAATACCGCCGGACCGCCGCCACCCGCCACTCAGGTCGGGATGCTGTGCTCCCAAGAGCCCCTCACAGCTGCTCCCGAGAGCCCCATCCACAGCTGCTCCGACGCGGAGGCGCGGCCACACCTCGCCCCGATACCGTTCTCGAAGGCAGCCTGGGCCCGTCGCGGGAGGCCGCGTGCGGGCCCTCGCGCGGGACTCTCTGAGCCCTTCACAGCTGCTCCCGAGAGCCCCATCCACAGCTGCTCCGACGCGGAGGTGCGGCCACACCGCGCCCCGATGCCGTCCTCGAAGGCAGCCTGGGCACATCGCGGGGGGGGGCCCGCGCGCGGGCCCGCGCGCGGGGGCTCTCCGAGGCGGGAGCCCCGGAGGCTCTCTATGCGGGCGCCCACGGAGCCGGGGACGGCCTCTCGGAGAGGCGACGGGGGGCCTCGTTGGGCCGTGCCGGGGGCCCTGCTGGGCAGCTTGAGGGCCCCCTTGGAGGCCGCTCGAGAGCCACTCTGGGGCCATCCTGGAGGCCGCCGGGGGCCGCCAGTCGGAGGCGCGAACAGGCGAGGTCGCTGGAATGCCTCGAGGACCTGAGGGGTGCCTACGATTTGGGCCTCCTGGGGCTCTCGTGGGATGCCTCTCGGAAACTGGCTCGGAAACATACAGGGCAGCCTCAAGGCAA